TCCCCGAACAGGAACTGCAGATCATCTGTCAAAGCTGGTCCTGCCTGAGGTGGAAGCGGTCCTTTATAAGGAGCAGGTGGTTTGAGATCAAACGAGTAGAAGTAGACTGAGTGACCAGCGTTAGCGTGGAGCCTGGCAGCTTCCAATGTGCTCCAGTATGACAAGTAGTCATTCATGAACTGTCTGAAACTACCCCTTGTCTCGCAGTCGTCCCCTAATCCACCTTTTCCAATGTATTCCGCTATTAGAGCGAGCGCTGCATTGCCGGGGTTCTCGAATGAAAGTCTACTGACAATTCTAATGTATTGCTGGACTTCCTCGACACTTGGACAATTGAGGCCGGTTAAAAAAAATGACGGTATAGCATCTTCGTCCTTTGCTAATCCAACGATCACGTTAACATTGTTAATTCTGCCGGCTTTCAGCAATGCGAGGGGTTTATCGGTGATGAGATCACCATCAACAACTGTTGGAAAGGCAAGGCCAAACGGGGGTGTTACGGTATTTGACACAAAATCTGCCACTGGTTTTCCTCTGAGACAAGTGATCATCATCTCACTGTTTGCAGTTGGACATCCCAATTTGAGGGCGAGAGCCTTGGCTATCTCTGATGGTCGTGGAAGGGTTGGATTGTCGACAGGTGGGGATATAGCAGTTGCACTCATCAACACGGCTTTGTTAAAAAGGCCCTTTGCCCTCTCAGACAGAACGAGGAAGTGGGCAAGTACAGCACCCGATCCATGACCTTGGATAGTTACCTGTTCAGGATCGCCTCCAAAGCTCCCGATGTACTTGTTGACCCATTTAAGAGCAGCCAAGATGTCATGCAATCCGTAATTACCAGGAGCTACTTCATCTTCTGTTGATAGAAATCCCAGAGCTCCTAAACGATGGTTTATGACTACAAAAACAGCTTCAGCCTGAGATGCAAGAAGAGTTGCATCATAGACGGAAGATGTGCTGTATACTCCATACCCAACGTGAATAAAAACAAGAACTGGCAAAGCGTCAGTGTTTTGAGTGGGAGCGTAGATATTGAGAGTCAGACAATCTTCACTTGTTTGGTTGAGCCCAAGGCGAACCATCCAAGGATCCAATGTAACATCTTGAGGACAGGCTGGTGGTAGCTTCTCTGGGATGCCGAGTGGTTGATCAGCCCACGGTCCTGTATCTTCAGGTGGTTTGAATCGCAAATTACCAAGGGGCGGTTTGGCGTATGGAATGCCTAAGAACTTGGCGACTTCGCGCCCTCCCATTGCTTCGTCAGCGACTCGCACAGCACCAGTGATAGATCCCAGCACTTCACCGTCTTTGCTTTCTATCTGCACAGTCTTTGTGTCCGGTTTTTGCACGGTGCCACTTCTGACAGGTACTTCATAGGAACACGTTTTCTCATCAAACGGGTCCGTAATGGTTGGGATGTACTCGTTCCAGAAGGCGACTTTGTCAGCTTTGAGGCGCTGTCCTGTCCTGATGTTAGCGTCTAGGATGATGTATGTTTCATTCTCTGCTTCGAACTCTGGCCATTCAGGTAACGCTGCTCCGTTTGGATCCCTAAATAATAAATAAGAATAAAACTGTTTCATACAATTGATTGTTCATCTTGATGATATACTGTTTGGGTGCAGAGTAAAGTGTGTGCGCTGGCCTAACGTACCTAGTGTGTACTCGTGGGCAAAAGATGTCTGCACGATTTAGGAAAGGAAGACGTTCTGTGGACTCATCCACGGGACGTTTCCGCTTCACTAAAAGGGAGTTTTGAAGAGATTAGAGCCATTTGGGGGATAAGGTATATTGCAGCAAAAGGAAGCGGAGCAGTCAAGGAAACCTTACAAAATTTCAGCTGAAAAAAGTCTTCAAAGGGTTTTAAAATAGCTATTTTTCTTTCTTAACCCAAGAGACACAAAAACAGATAATGTAACGCAAACCCTAGGTCAGTGAGCAGTGTGTTGTGACGATGGAAGTAGAGTGTATCATGAGCATAGCGTGTAGCGTCTGTGACGTTCAATAGAGGCAATCCACTATTTACAGAAAGACGTCTTTAACTTGAACTCTAAGTTGAAAATAAAATTGAAGTCGAGGCTGACATTTTTGAAATTTTGTTTGAAATTATTTAAAAATGTAACAGACTGCCACTTTACCAATCAACGTTACAGCGAACAATTAGGTATACCAAATATCCCTTGGCAATCTCGAATGTTCCGTGCACTTTTAGTCAACATTGAAATTTGTTTTAAATAGAAGAAATATGTCGAGAACTGGCGATAATGATTGGAAAGTTACTTAAAGGAAAATCCTACTCGTGAAGGAATAATGGCCAACAAGCAACGTGGTCTCTGTCATTCATGGGCACAGGTCTGGATGTGTGCACGGGCGGCCATTAGCCTTTTTGAGGTATGGGGGTCCCAATAAAAGGGCGCTATTTCGTTTGGGTGAAATTTTTTCTGGTTAATCCAACTTTACCAACTTCAAATAGCACTCTCATATTGTGCCCACCATGTTTCGAAATTATACTGGTCACTGACTCTGAATTGGAAAATATTTCTTCTTGTTATCATTACAAAGGACTTTGAATTCGAAAATAAATCGTCAAAACAGAAAACTCACCCATATAGACAAAAATAACTGATTTTTTTCTTATATTAGACCGATTTCAACAACGCTTACCTGTCATACTTTACGTTGCCAACCTCTGTCATGTAACAATTAATATGAATGATTTTAAAATAATTTTAAAATACCTTTAATCGATGCATGATGCCACTTTATGTCACTTTCACCACACTATTTTATTTATTCTTTGCGGTATTGTGGGGCAACGATTTTAAACAGTGGGCTTGGTAACCTAACAATGAGTCAAGCGTTGAGTATGCATGTGTTAATCTATTGGTTCAATGTGGACACACTGCGTAAGCGTTTGTTCGTTTGTGTTTGTTGGGGTGTTTGTTTTTTAATTTGCTTCAAAAATGTATAGGCTTGCACGCAGATTGGTTATTTAAAGATAAGTTCAGATCAGTTTCTTGTCATGTCAGTTTCATATCTAACATTGTCGGATTTTCATAACGGCGTCTTTCAAAGTAGGCTTACGTACATTTCACTTCAAAAGTTAAGGATGCAGTATCTCTTTTCAAGGGTTTAAATACAATTTATTTACCCGTTCTTCGCAAACTGTGACCAATACTTTATGATAGCATCGGATAATGACTGCGCCTCGATGTTTCCTGGAATCAGCAAGTTGATGAGCCCGAAAACATAGAAGACATCCAGGATGTGTGGTGCTCCGGAAACACGATCAACCAAATCTGGACGAAGCAAAAACTCCTTTCCAACTTCATAGTCGAAATAATAGTAATATGTCCTAGTATTGTCAGTAGACAACATTGCGTGTTTGTTACGGAAATTTGCACCGGGAATGTCGAAATATAAATCACCGATCACATCTAAATATTTCAGAAGATTTTCCTGGATGTTGCCCAGCTTGTCCCCACTGAAATAAAAGGCCAAAATTGCATTGGTGATTTGCTCCGGATTTTCACACTGACAAGTTACGGCGATTTGGCTCTGGGTGGCACGACGAAGACCCTCTGCAGTGTAGTTATCCGCACTCTGAAAAACGGACCCCTCTTGACTGTTAACCCCTAAGAGAAGGTCATACTGTCCAACTCGGGGATGGGACAGGAGAGAGTTGATGTCGGTGGTAAGAAACTCGCCGTCAATTGTAGCCGCTGTTGTTACGAATGAAGATTTACTCAACAGTTCCTCCGTGGTTAATCCTCGTAGGCAGCTGATCAGGTGGCGCGTGGTGCTGCTACCATATGTTAGGTTGCAGCCAAGAGATGAGGCAAGATTCCAAGCCTGAAGCTGGGCGAAATTACCCGGGATGATTAAGCCTGGAAAAGCTACCCCGCTCTGAGAAATCACCCGCTGAAAAACATTCCTGTCGTTTAGAGGTGAAATCATCTGGTAGGTCACACTCCATCCTCCTGCCGACTCACCAAAGATGGTGATTTGATCTGGATCACCACCAAAGTTGGCGATGTTGTCTTTGACCCACTGGATAGCGAGACGTTGATCCCACAGTCCGTAGTTCCCAGGTGCTGAGTCGTCTCCGGTGCTGAGGAAGCCGAATAATCCCAGACGGTAGTTCATGTTCACCACGATGACCTGTCCTTGTAGTGCAATGAGCGAGCCGTCGTAGAGTGCACCTTCCCCGCTAACCAAACTCCCTCCATGCAAGTAAACCATGACAGGCAGGGGTCTCAACGCATCAACGAAACCATGCGGAACATACATATTCAGAAACAAACAGTCCTCATTTGTACCCGTATTAGGTATGAATTGATCAAATTCCGAAGATATGAACACATCAAAAGAAACCGCGGTCTGAGGACATTTGGCGCCGAACAATGTGGCGTTGAGCACGCCATCCCAGGGAGTTTTCGGTACGGGCTTAGCGAAGCGCAGCTGCCCAATCGGTGGCTCAGCGTACGGTATTCCAGCATACCGTGTAACGACTGGGATGGGTACACCGGGTATCGGTAATTTTATGCCCATTACTGGACCCAAAGTAGTGTTAGTAATGACTGTCTGCCCAGCCACATAGTGAACACAAATCAGACCCAACAAAATCAGCGAAACACTTGTGCATCCAGTCATTTTCAAGATGTCATAATCAACCAAAAGAACTGTATAGGTTATTTTAACGTAGCTGCTGGGAGCTTGGTTTTGAACACGCGACTCTTGTATTCGACATGACAAATCTGACTTCCTTTGCCCGTGTAAAGGAAACCACCAGCCACAGTAACACAAAGGTCATGACAGACGGTGCTACAGGCGGAACTACAAGACCACGGCCTGTGTTTCACTAAGAAAGAATTCCCATCTTTCATGCAGATGGTCGTGTTTTGTGTTTCCAGAAACCCGATGAGCCTGTTTTTGTGGATTGGAATTCCGTCGGGTGTATCCATGTCCCTCCATTTGATGCGCGATAGGTGGCAAAGGGACCCCCCTTCTATTGTGTTTTCTTTTGTGTTGACGAAATCTTTGGAAATCCTTTTAGGTTTCCGGTGGGGGGGGACAGGAGGCACAATACAGCGTATATAGCTTGCGCATCACATGGGGGGGTTGTAACTTTCCCACATATCGTGCTGGATATATATAAATTAAGAATCCCATCTTATTGCAAAATGAGTCGGGGTAGAACTCACACTCACTCAACTCATATGACGGGTGCTGTGCGTTTTACAAAATCAGTTCTGCAATTCGCTGACGCGGAAGTTCCACTGTGTTCATGAGAGGTAGGTTTTCCTGCAATAATGCCGACTTGGAGGTCCTGCAAAGAGAGCAGGGGAGCTCTGCACTTCATGCAGACTGAATTTCTCACAATCACGGATACTCGACCGGGCGACAAATGCCTAATGCATGTAATGCCACATGTAATTCCTAACTGTTGAAAAGTGAACCCCCATACACGCATGTCTGGCAAAGTTCAAGCCCATACGCTTAATTTTTTGTACCTGAAGAAGTGGTCACCCGTTGCTCTTTTTATAAGTGAAGAAAACCACCCGAAGATGCATGGCACTGCGCAATTCATGAGGACCCTGCGATGCGGCAATATAGAGGCTACAGTGCTAATTGTAAATTGCCATTTACTCCGCTGAGTTTTGGCATGGCAAAGACCCACCCATTTATTTACCAGGAAACTGGCCAATATCGCCCCCATTTTCTGCTGTCCAGGTTGTGAAGTAACTGCAGTGTGATGCACATGTACAAGTATTTTGGGCGTTCAGCTCGGTGACCTCAGACCACATACCATGGCAGAATAAAGAAAAAAATCTTCGTGAAAGCGTTTGTTGATGATAGCAGATTTTGTACTCAGAAAAATGCCATTGTGAAGAAGTATGGCATAGAGAAGAGAAGTGGCCCGTTGTGTGAGAAGATTTGGACGTTTGGAGTAGTATAGAACTTTTCCTGTGATGTCACAATCGTGGTGGATTTATACGATGTGTTGTGATGGTAATGATGCATAGTGTTGCATATAATCGTGGAGGAATAAAACACAATCTAGGCCTACTTAAGATAAACTGGTCAAGCATGCTGTGTTCGCTCGTGGCCACGGCAGTCCATGCACGTAGTGGCATTAGCGTAATCCAGTGACGTGGTAAAAAAAAAAGTATATACTGCTTTCGAGACTCCGAGATCTCACGCAAGTAAATCTTTTCAGACACAAAACTTGGATGGATGTTATTGCAAATTTCTTTTCTGATAATCGGCGGGTGGTGGCGGCCGGTGGTGGTGGGGGGGGGTTCACGACGTTCAACAAACGTATTGATTCATAAACAGCGGAATCAAGTGGTAGGTTCATGTTATCAACAAAACTGTACATTTCAGAATGAATCTTACTGAAAAATACATTCCAATTACATCAAGTTCTTTACCATAAATAAGAGTTCGAAATCAAAACACCTTGACATACAATTTACAGCCAAAAACATTCTCGCCCTTTTTTATTTCAGCTCACAATATCTGACCGCAAAATCTGACAGTTTCATGAATAAAGCTTATTGAAAGCAGGCGACACGGTTAAATTAACTTGGGAAACTCATTTTCACTCAGTGTTTGGCGTGTTTCTCGCCAGTGCTGTTCTTTCTTTTCACGAAAATTTTCGAAGAAAATTAAATATCTCTTTGATTCGCTGCATAGGCCTATGTGTAACGACAAATTCCGCTGTATATAATTCACTCGTGCGAGATGCGACAAAAATTGTTTGTTTTCCGTCATTTTGAACCGGCGCTGAACCAACTCCAACCTTCGGTTCTCGTTCGGTCAGAAAGTAACGTCACAGAGGCACAACCAAGTCACGAAAACGCTTATCGAAAACCAAAACTGAAAAAAGGTCTTGGTTCGGGACGCCTAAACACACGTAGCACTTACACTAACATCATCGGTCATATTATCAACCAAAAACTTTACATTTCATAATACATTTTAGGAAAAAATTACTTTTTCAATTAAATTGAAATAGTTGAAATTGTTTTAATACCGTAAATCTGGGTAGAAAAACCACGGATAAAGTGTTCGTTTCAACTTATGATGTGCGTTTTAGCTAAACAGCAAGTTCCCTGCAATTCATAAACTACATGTATCATACTGCACAGGTAACGTTAATGCATATAATGTCATAGAACTGCATGCCAAATAATGACATTACCCTAAGGATATTTGGACAACAGAGTGCAAGGATTGCCATATAACAATTCAGTCGCTCAGGATCACTTTTTTATTTTGTAAATCTATCCTAGCATCAGTAAGTTACATGCATTGTTGCAGGTCCGGTCAGCGTTAACAGAAAGCAAAGCGCGTTGAAATGACATTGACCCAACCAGCAATCTCCTTCCCGTCCATGGTAACTTCCTTCTAACATCCTGATTTCGTATCTAAATATTAAGGCCAGTTACAATCCTTTTTAGGTCAACATCACTTCAACAATCTGTATGTTGGGAAACCAATGTTTTAGATTTCATGAAATCTGCTTCGCATCCGAAGTCAATTAAACCGACGGGTAAAGACTGACTCATGACCCTACTAAACCTAGAAGAGGGGTAAAATGTTTTTAGGAGGCTCCGGATTGTCTTGCAGTTGATACGATGACGAAGTATGACATTAAAAGAATCAAAGTCTGCTGCTGTTTACTTGTAAACCCACGGGACTTTTTATTGTTTGTGGAAAAATCTATCTGAAAATAACCTTTAATGTAGAAAAAAATCTTTTCAGACAAAATATACTGTCGACAATGTAAACCTAGAATTTTAGTTTAAGTTGCTTAAAAATGGATTTGTAACATGCATGTAATTGGCACACTGATAAACTAAATACAGTGCACTAAATAAACAAGCTTCGGTTTTCACATTAAAAGTGAATGCAAGGTCTGTGACCCTTCCTTTTCAATCCTTTCAGGGCATTGGTAAGTATACAGATTCCTTTCAGAAAAATGGTGTGAAATAAGTCCTGGCTTCAGACGCGTGAGGTGTTGTGGGTCACTTGCTGTCGATGTCCTTGTCCTATAAGTGTTGATCCCCATTACTGTTCAAATGAACTCTATCCATTGGAAACGTCATGCATTTGCCGGGCCTTTCAAAGCCCTGAAAGGGCATCGGTGGACAAGCCAGGTTACGCAATGATTGAGCTTTACCAGGATTATGCAAACCATCCAGTACTAAAGGCGGGAGAACAGCTAGTGATAGCATCTCGGCTCAGTGCCTTGGGACGAGGTTTGCTTTTTTACTCAGCCGAGCGAGTTTAAGGTCGCTAGGAAACGTACCGGAAAGTCACCCACTGTCCATGAAGAAGTTGATTAGGTCCTATTCTCTTTACATGTCCAACTGCTTGTCAACAACCTTACACGGATGGATTTTTTTCATTGGATATGTACGCCAGCATTGGAAACTATAGGACTAATGTCAAATATTAGAGAAAGAACAAAATAATCTCTTCAATTAAGGTTTTATTATCACTGACGTGTCACGATATTAAAAATAAACAGGATGCCTAATTAATAAATGTGTGCCCTTGAACTAATAGTCAAATGGTCGATGAAGTTGGTGTGATCATTTAATCAACTTTTGGCTTCCTTGTGTGTTATTCGTTTGGACGATTGTCTGTGGACACCGCTTGCATACATTCAGGTGCAACGTAATGAAAGACCTCTGTCAATTTTGAAAGCAGATGTGCTGTTTTATTGACCTTTATACAGATACACATCTGTTTCCCCTACAGACCACGGCCACTGCAATTGTTATTATTCTAGTAAGATCAACACAGGTGTAAATTGACCTGAAGGAAGCATGTTGACCAAAATCCGGTCGACGGGAGTTACAACACGTATGGAAGCTACATTGAGTGATATTTTAAATCGACTAATAATTCTCTAATACAAAAATGGATCAAATTTCCACAATATTATGACCAATCATGGGATCATACCACGCCTCCTACACACATCCTTTTTTCTATCACTAGCGCAAGTTTACTTTCATATGGCTACAAGTTAATTTTGATTAATTATGACACGTATGCGCGTCTAAGAAAATTACCATAGCAGTATTAGTATCATTATGGAGGACTTCGATCCCCAATGATACAATTGCATCACCCAAATTTCTATATACACTGTGTAATGTAGGCCCACCTTCATCCGTGACGAGTGGCTCGTGGTTAAAAAATGCCCTCCAATTGTAGGCCTTTAGGGGACACTCTGCTCTGTTCGTCTTTCGATTTGCTTTAGGTTTAAGCGGAAGAATGGGGTATATTAGTATGCCACCTACTTAATTAACCGAGAGCGACTGTCAAAAAGAATTTAATAAGAGGGACGTTTTCTGGTGAGAATTGTCAGGAGGGCAGAAAATTTAAGGCAAAGGGGCAGCACGTGTGCATGTTATGTTAAGTCAACCAACTTGGATATGAAAATGTGCATGTGGTGCGCTGAGACGTTTTATGGCCGCAGGCTAGTAAATGAGACCCAAAGGGCATATGCTGGCCAAAGCAAATATACATGCCCTTGATATTCTGTGCTGTGAGGGTATTTTATTAATGCATTATTACCAGCCGTGTAATGTGCATCGCCTCCTAGTGTCGTAGAGCGTCAGCACCCCAACCCCACTTTTCAAATTTCTACAGTTGGGTAAGTCATCCCGAACAATCCCCCTTCCCCAGTCGCAGCACAAATTTACGCCACTGGCAAATATTATCAAGGTCATGGATTAATCCAACGAAAATTTAAAAGGCAACGAGCAAGAAAGAAGAAAAACGATTAATTGATACGGGTTTGAAGTCCTGAGAGACTAGTTTTGTGACTTCAGATAAGGATGAATTTATTATTTTTGCTTACAGCAGCTTATTTGTTTGCCTAATCATAGCGACAGGGCTATAGCTGTTGGCTGCCCTTATTGATCCAACGAACTTTAGGGGCAGATCCAGGATTTTTGGCAGGGGGGTTCGAGAAATTTTTGTTCTAATAAGGGGGATTTATTTACAGGTGTCGCCGTTTATGAAGCCATTTCATTTCTTTATTCTGTCCTTAACTGTACACACAAAATTAGGACCGCTGTATGGTTCATGCTCGGTGGGGGTCTTCCTTGACCTTGAGACGCAGGCCCTATAGCAACGAACATGAGAGGGCCCCACTTGATCCGCACCTGAACTTCACTTTTAGAGTCTTGATACGCCAAAATATCGCTTTCTCATAAATTCAGGGGACTCTTCCTTTGTAATCAGTCTTATGGAGGAAACTTCAATAAAGAGGTATTATGTCACAACTAGCCTTTGCCAGACGCTCAAAGATGAGAACTATATTCTCTCTCTGCGACTTCGAAGCCTTTCTCCGTACCTTGCAAACCCTTCTCCCCAATCTGATTTACCCGGGATCTGTATGCCATACAACCCCCGAAAAAGAACACAGACAGCAACAAAGCACCTATGAATGCCCCGATTAGAGCCTGGATGACGGTACTAGCCTGCTCTTGGGTAAGTTTCAATCCAATGCCTTCACCGACCACGCAAGGTTCTTGATCTGGCGGGCAAGAGGTAATCTCAGGTGAAGGAGGAATAGGTGCTGTGATGGACGGTAGGTAAGTTGCCCAGAACCGAAGGAGATGTGCCCAGTCGTTGTCGTTGCCCGAGTAAACTTGGGGACAATCGGTGAGTGACATGTACTTGAAGTCATGTGAGTCGAATTTTGGCCACTCAACGCCAGACATTGAGGTTCCGGGAGTCCTATGTGAAAAAAAAGGAATTATGTCTGATGGGGTCAAGTGGAAATTGTTTTTTGGTCGAAAGGATATTACCCAAAACAGTGTCAAACAAGCCTGAAAGAGAATTCCCCATAATGTGCATTGAACCAGTGTCATAAAAGATAAATGATCTCACCCATTATGAATGAAATTTTTCAAAAATTCCATGTGCTCCAGGGTTAACTGCTTATCTTCTAGTCTGTAGGGTAGATCGAGTTTATCTACGAGAGGACTGTATGGATCTCCAAACAGGAACTGCAGATCGTCTCTGGCAGTTGCACCGTAGATTGGGGGGAGTGGTGGTCCGTATCGGATGGATGGTTTTTGTTCGAATAGGTAGAAGTACACAGATTGACCGGCATCAGCGTGAATCCTGGCGGCTTCCAGTAAACTCCACCCCGACAGGTAGTCGTTCATAAACCTTCTGAAACTACCCCTTGTCTCACAAGCATCGCCCAGTCCACCTTTTCCAATATATTCCGTCACCAGTGCAGAGGCTGCTGCTTCGGGATTGAGGTAAGAAAACCTGCAGACTGTGCTAATGTACTGCTTGACTTCATCAACACTTGGACAGTCGAGGCCAGTGAAAAATAAACTTCGTTCAGCATTATCGTCTTGTGAATATCCAATCATTATGTCGACATCGTTAATTCTGCCGGCTTTCAGCAACTCCAGAGGTTTTTCAGTGATGAGATCCCCGTCAAAACGGAGTGGAAAAGCGAGCCCAAATGGGGGGTTTGCGGTATTGGACACAAAGTCGGCCACTGGCTTTTCACGGAGACAATTTATCATCTCACTACTAGCAGTCGGACATCCCAGTTTGATGGCTAGAGCCTCAGCTGCCTCAGATGGACTCGGAGCGACTGGGTTATTGATAGGTGAAGATATAGCAGAAGCAGCAACCAAAACAACTCTTTTAAATAAGCCTTTTGCCTTCTCAGAGAGTACTAAGTGATGTGCCAGAACGCCACCTGAGCCGTGACCGAAGACTGTAACGCGCCCTGGATCGCCTCCAAAGCTCCTGATATACTTGTTGACCCATTTGAGTGAAGCTAAGATGTCACTCAGTCCGTAATAACCAGGAGCAACTTCATCTTCTGTTGACAGGAATCCAAGAGCTCCTAAACGATAGTTCATGATCACAACAACAGCTTCAACCTGGGATGCAAGAAGAGTTGCATCATAGACTGAAGATGTGCCGAATAGTCCAAATCCAACGTGAATAAAAACAAGAACTGGCAAAGCAGTGTCGTCAGTGTTTTGAGTGGGAGCGTAGATATTGAGAGTCAGGCAATCTTCACTTGTTTGGTTGAACCCAAGGCGAACCATCCAAGGATCCAGTGTGACATCTTGGGGACAAGCAGGCGGTAGCTTCTGCGGGATGCCAAGTGGTTGATCACCCCACGGTCCTGTATCTTCTGCTTGTTTGAATCGCAAATCACCAAGGGGTGGTTTTGCGTAAGGAATACCCAAGAACTCGGCGACTTCGCGCCCTCCCATTGCTTCGTCAGCGACTCGCAGAGCACCAATGATAGATCCCAGCACTTCACCGTCTTTGCTTTCTATCTGCACCATCTTTGTGTCCGGTTTTCGCACGGTGCCACTTCTGACAGGTACTTCATAGGAACACGTCTTCTTATCAAACGGCTCCGTAATGGTTGGGATGTACTCATTCCAGAAGGCTACTTTGTCAGCTTTGAGGCGCTGTCCTGTCCTGATGTTAGCGTCTAGGATGATGTATGTTTCATTCTGTACTTCAAACTCTGGCCACTCTGGTGAACCTGCTCCGTTTGGATCCCTAAATAGTAAAAAGAAATAAAATGGTTCCACATAAAAAATCAAGAGTGTGAAACACTTCGCATCCCTGATAGCAAACATGGAGTGTTAGTTTTCAAGATGTACGTTGACGTTGGGGAGATGTTAATTTATACAGGGTGTCCACATAAAAAGTATACCGATAAAAATTACTGTAATAGCAAAACTACTTTATATATGGGACAGCAATATATATCTCTAGAAAGGGCAGAATGTCCTCTTTATAATGTGTACAGCTTGTGATGTTATTGACACAGATGAGTGAACAAATTAGACCAATGTTAAGGGTACTGAAATTGGCACTGTGACAAAATTGCATATGTGATTAACAAGGCTAGACCATGCAAGTGTGCAGAATACCAAATGCGTTTGCTTTAAGAACTGTGAGAAGTTGCATATTGATAACAAAGGTCAACATGTTGGGTCTAGGCGATTTATTTTTATGGCGTTACCTGCAGAACCAAAGTTTCACTACACCCTCAGGTAATGTTCAGGAGTTAACATGCAAGAATAGTGGACAAAGTCACAAATCTCCGTCAAGACCTTGAAATGATCAGACGAGAAGTAAGGGACATGTTACGAAAATGTCAGATGTGCATTGAGAGGAATGGTGGCCATGTGGAGGACTTAGCACATTAAAGTGATGAGGTAAGTAGCGAAAACAAAGCAGATAAGATTGATTTAGGAACATTCCTTGTTTTCAAGAATTCGTTCTGCGCACTTGCATGGTTGAGCCTATGTTTCTGAAATATGCAAACTTGTATATGCAAACTGTATATGTATATGCTATACTGTATATGCAAACTTGTCACTGTGCCGATTTCAGTACGCTTAACACCGGTCTAGTTTGTTCACTCATCTGTGTCAATAACATCACAAGCTGTATACCATTGCAAAGAGGACATTCTGCCCTTTCTGGAGATATATTTCGCTTTCCTATATATAAAGTCTTTTTGCTATTACAGTAACTTTTATCTCAGTATACTTTATTTGGACACTCTGTATAACGGGTTCTGCCCTTAGCCAACGTATATTGCCCTTAGCCAATGTATATATGTTAATAAACACTGTACATTCAGTGCTTGTTTGACTGAGAGCTGGATTTGGACAATTTTTAGACTGATGATGCTGAATAATGAGACCAACTTCGTGCGGGGAGTAGCCCAGTGAGGTGTAAAAAGCACCCTCGAGAAATAGGAAGCAGACACCAACTCATGCCTTCTTTTGGGAACATTTCAATTATTCCAAGCTACTCGATTTTGATGGGAGTAAAGTCTGCTGGGTTGGCCGTTCTGCTCAACGTTCTCAGGATAGGAATGATGTATTGAGGCTAATGTTAATGGAACGCACCGTATCGACATAGCACATTTTTGTTTGCCTTTTCAATGGTGGAAGCGGGACGTTGGCACAAAAGTCCAAACCGGTGTAATTTTGACTGGGTGTAATAACAGTCATGACTCACTTTCATGGGGTGCGAGTAAAATTGTGGCCTTGCCGATACTTGTATTGGGGTCAGGCCTATGAAGAGCGGGCCCTAATGTTTAGGCCCTACGTTCTTTTTTTGTTTAATACATGGAAGTGTTTGTCTTTCAGTTTCAATAATCGCTGGATGTTGCTCCAGAATCATCCCATGAACATACCCTCCTCTTAAAAAAAAAATCAGGGTTAAAAATCAATGTGCACGTATGGGATTGTGGTATAATTATGTTCACGTAATGGCAAACTGCCACGTGTACTCAGGCACCGTGACAGCATCGACCTGGAGAGTTTTTCAAAATACGCGCCCATAGAAAATAGTGCAAATTCGGACCGAAATAGCGCCGCCTGTTGACTCTCGTAAAGAGGTTGGCCTCCGTTTTTTTACTGGAAATTCACGATTATGGCCAGAAGAGCACTTTTTGTTTCACGTTCATGGGGGTTAGCCACGAAAATCTTTTTTATTCGCCTTTCAAGGCAGATACCCCCCCAGCAGTAAAACTAAGCGCTCATCTCTGAATGTAGTCGCCCACCTCTATCCAAAATGGGCCCGCAATTTGGGGCTTTTTGTGAAAGAAATACCCCGAACTGGAAACTACCAGTCCCATATCCGGGATCTGTAGAAATATTTCTATGATCCCTCCTGATTATGGCATGTCTTATTGTACAACCCCGCGGGATCACAAAATATTAATGAGCTCGCGCGCAGAATTACAACCATTTGGTGGAATGCACCTTTATTAGTATAGATACACGTTTGGTAAAAGCAAAACCAGTTTTTGAGTATTAGGGTGAGTAGACTGTACGTAGTGTGGGTAGTACGGTAGTGTGAATATAGCATGAGTTTGAGTTGAATGTACATGTAGTTTGAGTGTACCTGATCCGTTTGGATCGCTGAATAAGGAAATCATACCGTTATTTAGACATGCGAAGTGTGAAAAAATAGGTTGAACTGCAACTGATCTTGTAACCCGAACCTGTTCGGTGAGCGTTTACCGTATGATACACATAATATAAGATTTGATAGTCGTTTTCAGAACGGAAGTGGTATAAGGTCGTGGGAATAAGTGAATACGACAAAAACGTCTTTGATGTTGAACAACGTGCGGACTTAACGCTGTATAAATGACGTGGGCACTGATGGTGAGTATAAAAAATCAGCATTTGTCGACAACCTTTTCCACAGACAAAGCCACTGGGGTTCATCAAGTTATATTTAAGAACATCCACCACCTAGGCTAAAATTTCTGCTGGGCATTTCTATTTTCTGCCGGAAGTTTTCCCTGATTACCACACCGCCCGTCTTTTCGTACTCTAGCTGTTTTGGCAACTCACTCATGACGCCGGCAGCGACATGTCACTTGAAGTGTCCATGCCGATCGGCAAAATCGCGTGTTTGGGCCCGGTGGCAGGGACTACCCTTGAACAAAAGTAAACAACTACATCAATATTACAAAACAAGATAATGATTTTCACTGAAGCATTAAGACCCAGAGAGCTGATGAGGGGACTGTTTGAGTTCGCAATCCTTACGTGTAAACGCAGGCTTGAATAAAGGCGCCTTGAGCAGAAGCACTCCCTCATCAGCTAAAAGGAGTCAGTTGATAGGAAAGTTCATTTTATACCTTTACCATGATGTTGTCATGTTTGTCTTGTTCCTGCAGACGGATTCGCAAGAGTGATAAATTTCACATATTGATGAAAAGGAACGGACTATTTAATGTGAATGGTGAAAATCAAACCAAGATACATGTACATGTATGTGTGCCTCATGATAGATATCTATTGGTAGCGACAAGACTGCAGCACGTGCATTTCATAGTCATTCATAAACCAGTGAAGTGCAGTCCAACTAAAGGATCCTCCATGGCAAATTGTTCAGAAAATATCGTCTGCCCTGATGATGTCACTGTAGAAGAGAATAGGTTGAGCTGTGCAAGAAGTGTTTGTAAAATGTCCTCATGTGTCGCTAGAGGGAGCCTAATTTACAACATGTCGTTTTTACTTCGTTTTTGTGTGTGTTTGACATGCCACTCCAGACATTCAGTATAAAATTTGCTTCATTTTAGTTAAATGCATGTATTGTTGCATGTCCGGGAACCCCGGTTGTGAAGGTCGCGTAACTTTATTGAAAACCAGTGGTTTCGTTTACGTGATCAAGTTTAGATCGGTTGACAATAGTTTTCGGGAGCCTGTTTGTTTCATTCGAATCTGGGTCAGTAATCCCATCGCTAGTTCGCTCCATCCATTAAGGCGGTTTGGTGTCAGTAAACCAACGATCGAGGGATCACTGACTGCGATCCGGATCCGCGAGAAACGAGCCCTGAGGAGCAGCTAATGTGGGCTGCTCTGTGCTGCGACGAATGACTAACACCTTGACCAACAAGGCTATTGAAATCCCGAAACCTTGAACAGCACACAAAGAATACTTAATGCTGAATACCAAGGTAATACAAAAGTTTGCTTGCTATAGTTAATCAAATTCAATTGTGGCAAGCTAGCCAACAATCGCCTTTGTATTTGGCAAGGTAAAAAGGTCACGGGTGGCTCCACTCAGTAGAAAGGCATTGCAAGTCTGAATATTTTTACATGACGTCTGTGTTTGAAAGCCTGTAACATTAATCCACTCACGAAAAAGGCACAGTAGTTGCTGTAACATTCCTTCGCATTTTTATACAAGATTTTTCCGTTACACCAAAATAATGTGCAAATGGTCCTAGGGTTGTGACAAATAATCGTAAGCTTTGATAGCTGGGGTTTCAAGCCACAGTTGGGGGGAGGGGGGTCATAACGACTCGACTGCTGAATTTGCCGGGATCGGGTGGCTGGCTCGAATCTAATGCAGCAGCGGGTACTGCTAGCACTTTTAATTTAAATGTGTCAATTTGCTTTGCGTAAAGGGAATATTAATAGCCCCACGTAGTTTATATTCTCAGTCTGAAAGTTCCAAAAAAAATCACAAGCTCATTCGAATCCGTGAATTGACTTCCTGCTTACTGTTGCCACAAATGAGGACCCTGGCGTCTTAAACCACTCTCAACCACCGAGTTTGACGGGATTGGTGGAGCGGAGCTGGCTGATCATTATGTCTAATCTTATTATACCAGTGGTGGTCTGCTGATCCAACTAGTTCCAGCACCATCCCTCAATCACAAGTGTAATTACTGCCAGCACTGGAGACTTGCAAAGCACTGGCTGGTGCTAGAGTGGAGGAACGTGGCTATTTAAAAAATATATATGTATACATGTACATGTAATTGACGGGTTGGAATATCTTTACTTACCCATTCTTTGCAAACTGTGACCAGTACCGTATCATGGTGTTGGATAATGACCGCGCCTCAGTGTTTCCTGGAATCAGCAAGTTGATGAGGCCGAAAACATAGAAGACATCCAGCGCATGTGGTGCTCCGGGAACACGGTCAACCAAGTCTGGACGAAGCAAAAACTCCTTTCCAACTTCATAGATGAAATAATAGTAATATGTTTTACTGTTACCAGCAGATGACGTTGCGTGTTTGTTACGGAAATTGGCTCCAGGCGTGTCAAAGTATACATCGCCGATCACATCCAGGTATTTAAGAAGATTTTCATCTACGTCATCCAACTTGTCTCCACTGTAGTAGAAGGCCAAGATTGCATCGGTTAGTTGCTCCGGATTTTCACACCGGCAAGTGAAAGCAATCAGGCTTTGGATAGCATTACGAAGGCCTTGTGAAGTGTAGTTTGCCTCACTCGGAAATAAGTAGCCTTCTTTGTTGTTCACTCCCAAGAGGAGATCATACTGTCCAATCCGAGGATGGGACAAGAGGGAGCTGATATCGGTGGTGAGAAACTCGCCGTCAATTGTAGCTGCTGTCGTTTGTAATGTAGACATATTTATCAGTTCCTCCGTAGTCAATCCTCGAAGGCAGCTTATCAGGTCGCGAGTGGTGCTGCTGCCATAGGTTAGGTTGCAACCTAGAGATGAGGCAAGATTCCAAGCCTGAAGCTGGGCGAAATTACCCGGGATGATTAAGCCTGGGAAAGGTACCCCACTCTGAGAAATCACCCGCTGAAAAAGATTTCTGTCGTTTAGAGGTGAAATCATCTGATAGGTAACACTCCATCCTCCTGCCGACTCACCAAAGATGGTGATTTGATCTGGATCACCTCCAAAATTAGCAATGTTTCCTTTGACCCACTGGATAGCGAGACGTTGATCCCACAGTCCGTAGTTCCCAGGTGCTGAGTCATCTCCGGTGCTGAGGAAGCCGAGCAATCCCAGACGATAGTTCATGTTCACCACGATGACCTGTCCTTGTAGTGCAATGAGCGAGCCGTCGTAGAGTGCACCTTCTCCGCCAACCAAACTCCCTCCATGTATGTAAACCATGACAGGCAGTGGTCCCAACGCATCCACGATATCTTGGGGGACGTACACATTCAGAAACAAACAGTCCTCACTCATACTCGTGTTAGGCATATATTGATCAAACTCCGAAAACTGGAACAGATCAGAAGCACTTCTAGTTTGGGGACATCTGGATCCAAACTTCGTCGCGTTCAACACGCCTTCCCATGGAGTTTTTGGTACGGGCTTGGTGAAGCGTAGCTGCCCGATCGGTGGCTCAGCGTAAGGTATTCCAGCATAGCGTGTGATGACAACTGGGAGCGATACACCAGGTATGGGTAGTTCCACGCCCATTACCGAACCTAAAGTAGTGTTAGTAATGACTGTCTGCCCGGCCGCAAAGTGGACAGTCATCTTAACTATCAAAACCAGTATGATACTTCTTGATTCAGTCATTTTGGTAGAGAAAAACAAACACGGTAGATTTTACTGCGGTTGTTTAAACGACAGCAGGTTGGCTATGAAGGTTATGGCATGATCACTGACCTCTTTTAAGGGTTATTTTGCATGGGGACAATGAGCATGGTATGTATTTCAAAAAGTCAAGGTTACCACACCGGTGTAGATTATTACCCCGTGTGGGCATAGCGACCTTTTCGTACTGATCCAGCTTTAAATATCTTAAGTTGGCAACAGTAAATTTTAAATCCCAAGTACTAATTTGTTTAATTTAGAACTTCTAGTTTATGTATGTAGTCAGTTTTTTTTGCACAGCCAATCGAATTTTTGCAATTGAAATTTTTCGTTAGTGTTTTTGTTCCATATGCTGCGACGTTTAAGAAAAGCACCCCATAACATGGAAACACCCCTACGATCCGTTGCAGGCTGTTAGAACAAGCCTTGTGATTGGTCAGATCACGCGAGATTTGTGACGCAATAGGCCGTCCATATATGGTAATACTCCAGACTGCATATAAAGGACACGAGTACTGGTAGCTCCTCTGAACGGCTCATTGTATGACAATAAACAGATTAGAGGTACAACGTATCTTAGCCACGTACACGTATGATGGCCTGAAGTCATCATTTTACTTTGAAATCTTATTATAGGCCCCTATGCCTATGTGTTCTTCAGCTTTGTTCAGGCTCTGTGCCAGTTCGATATTTGGCAGAGAACTACTCGAGAAGTACTTGACAATTCACACTGTTATGCACGTTGGTTAAAAATGACCTGTTATTAATGCTCAGAATTGGCCTGTCTGGGTCGAAACCATCAAGAGAAAACTGTTGATGACGACTTCAAGCATTTCAGAGCAATCTGTAGAATAGTGTAAAATATCCCAATAAAAAAAGCTTCTTAAATAGTACACTTTTGAGAAAAGTAAAACACGTGGTCTTTCTGCACGTTAAATGTTCGTTTTTGCATATAAAAGTAAGTTTGAGATTAACTGTAGTCACTTGTTGCCAATTGTTTCTTAATCGTTTTCTAAACTTTTATGTCGAGTATTGTAAGAGGTTTATTTTACACTGTATTCTTATTTTTTTTAATTATGGTATGACTATTACATAAAAGAAAAAAGTCGTCCATCAAAAAGGTGGAATGAGAATATAACAGGAACGAATGTAGCAAAGTACTACTCAAATCCTCGTTGTACGCATTCAAGTCAGGCATCTCCGACCAATAATAGACCCGGAACATAATGTCGTCACAGTCAAGCCCCTAACCTGTGCGCTTTCCTCTGACCGCTTTATTTGAGGTTGAACTAGAGGAAGTGGACGTGTAAACAAAGCAAGAGGTCATGGACACTGGAAGAAAAGGGGGGGGGGTTGCAAGGCTATGGAAACACTGTCGTGATGGGAAGGAGAGGCAGAAAGATTTTCCCGTTAAAGAGACAACTTAGGTTTTTTTTTTTCATCAGAGACGGGTCACTGAAATTCGGTGACCCATAGGCAAATGGGTCAATGATCTGTTATCTCTTGTGCAAGTTCATGACCAGATCGAACTAAAAGAATTTTCACGATCTGTTCATCTTGTTAGATACCTCTTGGGAATTACCTCTTGAAACCGGATACAAAGCTGCCTTATTTCCTGTGCCTGTGCAACTTTGCTATGCGTGTTTTAAAATTGGAAGGCATGCTATATGAGTTAGGTTTTTGAGCTACAACATTGCCAGCATTGTCTTATTTACTTCTTGTCTTGATCCAAATGCAAGTTGGCCTATATGTCGGTTGTCTCCTGGTCTTGAATAGGACTGGATCTGTGTTCGTGTCTGTGAACTGTTGACAGACTCTACTACAGGCCCATGCAGCCCAGATCTGCCGAGTCTCTGGCGAGAGCATGGGACATAGGCTCGCTTGTCAAGACAGTTGGAAAAATTAATGTTACCGTATTGTTTGTGTTTCTTTATATCAACAAACTCATATTGCAATACAACCATCACCAACTATACTCCCATGAATATAGTTAATATATTCCTCACCATACCGTAATATAGCTTCCTTTTTATGCAATATTTTTGACATTTTCTCGCTAATGACTCGGCATAACAACTTTCAAGGAAAATGTGATCCTTGGACGACTTGTATTCAGTGAGTCACGGACATTGCTGAATTACAAAAGAAATCTCTCGTCACGTCACAATAGAAACTAAGGACGCTCGTCGTCATAGTTTGATTTCACAAACGGCGGCAAACGGACGCGAGTCATTCTGGCACGCGTTTCTCAGTGTGCGTATCCAAGTAATTATTTCTAAACGCTGCGGCGTATTTTAAAAAAAAGCACGTTAATACTAACTCCAAAAGTGTTTTCACCATCTCCTCTTCAGTGCACTACAAAACAAGTTCCCTAAGGTATATTGTGATAAACCTAGAAATGAAAACTTACGTTGTTAAAACAAAATTATTGTAACAATTCACGTTACCATGAAGTCCACGATTAATTCTCTAGGTTGTCTGATTCATGCCTAACCCCAGGGTGTCGGGTGCATGGTAACGATGTCTACCGATGAAGGCAGTCTGAATCTTTACGATGACGAATATTTCATGGACAGCCTGCAATCAGCCACAGGCTGGACCAATAACCCGCCTCTAATCACTAAGTCGCAAGTGCCTAGTCTATCCACCATTATGGAACTCGAAGACAAAGATGTGTTGAGGGAGACTGAGCCCATCAATACTGAAGTGTGGGAAACTAACGATCATGGTAAGTCTCGAGTTGAACTTGAAAGGTTACAATGAAGGAACGGGGGCAATTAAAATAAAGGCACGGCTCATATTTATTTCGACGTGATTTTGAGTGAAAATGAATCGGGATATCCAGAATCGGTCGCGGTGAAATTCAGCCAAGTAAAATGCACAAGCTCCTGCGTTGTTGTCCGAAATTCTGAATTTCTTTACTGAAGTGGTCACGATAGTAAAATATGCTGTCGACTTTGTAACTTAAAGTCATTAAAATTCTTCACTACTTTTAATTTACGTACACGGCTAAACACAAAGATGTCCCTTGATCGTTAAAATTCACTTCTGAAAGTCCCCCTGAAAAAATCCACTTCAAAAGGGTTGGCACTGAAATAGTCATTATTAACAACATATTACAGAGCCAGAGCTTGTCCTCGATATTGAACTTGAAGAGGGATGGGAGAAAGGACCACGTCCCACTGCAGCCGAGTTGGCAAGCGACTTCGAAGGAGGAGCTGGGGATGGCTTGGACGAAAACACACCGAGCTATCAATCACCGGGTTTTTCTCTTCGGCGGAGCTGGGGACTAGCGTCACCATGGCATGAAAGCCGCTCATTCGGCCGGTCTCCGCGTGCATCCATCATGTTGGTGTCTCAGTCAGTCGGTCCTGGTAAACTTATTGTCAAGAGAAACGAGAAAGAGACGTTAAGGAGTGAGGATCAGCTTGCCGTAACCTCCCCGGAATTCATGATGTACACTCCGGCGGCTACCACTCCTACGAAGCGGTCAGTCCTCCTTCAGACCTCGGCCAATTCAATCCTTGCTGCTAGGGGTAGGAAGCTATTTGCTCGAGCTAGGGAAATCAATTCTGAACAAGCTGAAGACTCGGAGAGAATTGCCAGTGACGCTAGTATTACGATGATCCCTCGGCCAGAGAGTTTCTTCCTCCCAACTTGGCGGGAGAGAAGAGTAGTGTCCTGCCGTGCAAGAAACATCAATCACAGCAGCTCCCGGTCCAAGGTTTTTCCTTGGCAATCTTTTTCCATTCTCGACGAGACTCTCTGCTTTGATGACGAGGACGACGTCATCAAATACCCTAGGGACATCAATTTCAGGAAGGCCAGGTCTCATCCTTCCTTGACCTTTGCTGGGCACCAGTCTGCTGTTACAACTCGCAACGTGTCATCGTCAACCTGCCTAGGTCATGACAGAAACGGTCTTGCGGACCACGCTAAGTGCTTCAGAACTGAACTGACACCTACTCATTTTGAGGATGACACAAAAACAACCGACGCACATTCAACAGAAACTTCTTGCCTTGGAGCCACCAAGCTGCCTCCCCATCAAGAACTCAGCAACATGTCTAAAACCGATGTTGATGAACTTTCTAATAATGTTCCAGACAGTCAGAGCAGTTCAAATGCAAAGACAGAGACCGCATCCCGTGGAAACATTTCTCAAGCAGAGTTAACCACTTCAAAACCGCTACCCCTGGAGACAATCAGACAGCCCACAGCTCCCACGAAAACGACCAGAAAGCCTCGACTCTCCCATGTTCCTGGGTCAAAGCGGACTTCAGCACATTTCAACAACTCCTCAGAATCAGCAGCATCCAAATCCCCAGTCAATGATACTAAGGACGTTGCTGATCAACAGCAAGTTGACCAAACTCGCATTCTTATAACGGGACCATTCCACATCCCCCATCCCCCTCCTTTACCACGCCCACCACGTTCAATGCCAGTTGTACCATGCTCGAAGAATCCCAAACGCTGCCCAGACCATTCTATGCGACAAAGCTCTGAGCACAAGGTGAACACACGCTGGGAAATTTGTCTCTTACCACACCACTTTTTTCTTTTCTCAAGAAAAATACACACTTACATTGCAGAGTGTTTACAGGACAGTAAATCATTCAAGAACATTATGAATGAATGTTAAAGCGAAAACGAAAAAAAACATTTAAAATAAATCACCAAAAGACAAACTAATGCTGCATTAAATCTGTCTTTTGAGATAAACAGAAATTTGAAATCCGAATACATGCAATTTTTTGAGAGATTAGTCACTGTCTTTGAAAGATCTCTGAACAAAGATGAATCGTTGAATTTGTTTTAGAGTTTGAATTATGTGCATGTGTTTTTGTTTATCTACACAGGGTGTCGAAAGCAGTGAAGAATGGCAGATCGCTCGGACGTCGTTCGTCACACTCGTAGACCAACCATCCAAAGAAATCAAAAAGCAGCATTCCATCCGTCAAGCCAGCATCCCCTTATCATCAAACGAGGCAAGGCGAGAGCTCGTGGTCAGTGCAATCCATCCAATCCCATATCAGCCGGCGGCTCGCAGCAACAACCAACGAGTCGTGCCTCCAATCAGCACGGTTGCCTCGGCGAGTATTCCGAGACTCCAGTCAGGTACAAAGCGGGGAGTATTACCGAGCAACGTCTGCAACTGGGAACTGCCTTGTTCAGGAAAGCCAGATGCAGAGTTGGATAACCCTCCGGGGAAGTCTGCAATATCGAGGCCCAAGGAACAATCCGAAAAGAGAAACATTCTGGGACAAAAACGAGATTCTAAATCAAATGCTGGAGCAAGGTTTATTAAAACATCTTTAGGGCTTTCCGGACCAATACAGCAGAGATATAGCTTTGGAGGAACAATATCATGTCAGTATGGTTCATCCCTTGGACATACCTCAAGGGGTTCGGTGCTCCAAGATAACGCATGTCGTCATCAAGTAGTGTTGACTCCGCCATCGTTTAGGTCAGTGTTTTCAGAGAGGCCGGTGGCTACCGGACAATCGGTGCCGTTTGATTTCCAAGCAAGTCTTCGTAAGCCAACGGTAGGACCAATGCAACTAGCGCGACATGTTCCCAGACGTCTCAATATTCACCTGGTCCCGGCAGTTGAACTAGGAGCCTGCTGGAAAGCAAACCTGGCCGACCCGCCGCTTGAAACGCGGTGCGTTCCCAATTCCTTTTCTTCCGTCAGCAACCAAGGCCCAATTTCGTTAAAACCTCGCGCCCAAGTGTCCAAACAGGTGCAAAGTCACGTAAAACCACTCGGAAAGTCATTTCAAGTACAGAGAAATACCGATACAACATGCACAAAGGATGCCGCTCGTTTATACAGAAAAACGGCAGGAAAACTCTCATTCCACTCAGCCGTCTGGGAAACTCAGGGCGTGTCACGTCGCCAACAGTCAAAGAAGACATCGTTGACATCACTCCGTGAACACAGAAGAAATTAGAAAATGGATACGCAACAAGTTTTTGACCAATGAAGAAATTCTGGCAGTGGAATTATTTAAAGACACTGTGAACGCAGTTTTCATAAAATCAAACAAAAGAGAAAACAGAGTATTTTCATTTTTTTTCTCCTTGAGAAAATGACATAAAACACAAAAGTAATATTTTTTTCAGTCCCTAACCACTTTCAGTATTTTCAATTATTCGGTAACTAATGTTCTAAACCAAATCTAGATTGAACACGTGGAAACTTGTTTAGGTGTAATAATTAAGGAGATTAATCAGAATCGTGGCTGTAGGCCAGGGAGTATAAGTATAATGGATGCACAATTCGAAATTATACGAATCACATCATCGCAAGCAAAGGAAATGCGCCGAACAATGCACAGAAACCCCAAATCCTGAATTTAATTTGTGACATTGTAGAGAATTGTGCTCGAGCTCGTAATCAAGCGGCTAACTATTTCTATTTTCGGGGGGAGGGGGTTACAATGTACTGCACTTTAGAGATTTCTAAGTTTGTAAAACGCTTGCGTACAATGGCAATCCTCGAGTTAAACACTCACCGGTTCTTCTCAGAACCACACCTCTTCCCAAAAGAGAGTATTACACGGTGTACCCGCAAACCTACATCCAATCCTCGCGTATTTTCAAAAACTGTGTCTTGTTGTGAACTTCCAAAATAAAACAGTTTTCCATCCTTGGAATGGAAACAGTTTTCCTAAAAAAAATCATAGCAACCCCAAGACTAGAGCAAAGATGGTTCAAAGTTTGACCGTAGTTCTTTCAATAAACCAATTTCGATCTATTTAATGAATGAGCTGCTCTTTAACTGTAGAGAGCAGTCTTCGTTACGTAAGGTGTATTTTAACTGTGGCTGTACTCTCGTAACTAGGGTTAATTTTCAGAGGGGACACACAACAGTTTTATATCCAGCGGGAGCAACTTGCCCCCACGACGGATTTTTAAAAACCGATTTTTAGTAATTATATTTTATTATCAAATTTTGCACGAAAACCCTAAGAAAATAACACCACGAAATAAAAGCAAGGATGTTGGGACCGCGAGTAAGGCTTCTGATTTCTGCCCAACATCATAGGGGTGTAATCCACCAAATGGTTGTATCCGCGAGCGAGCTCATTAATATTTTGTGATCCCATGTGGGGTTTTTACAATAAGACATGCCATAATCAGGAGGGATCACAGAAACATTTCTACAAATCCCGCACATAGGACTGATAGTTTCCAGTTCGGGGAACTTCTTTTACAAAAGTCCCAAATTGCAGGCCTATTTTGGATAGAGGCGGGCGGGTACATTAAGAGCAGAGCGCATAGTTTTACTACAATTTGGGTGGTATCTTCACGGAAAGGCGAATTTTAAAAAATTCCGTGGCTAACCCCCATAAATTTGAAACGAAACGTGATCTACTGGCCATAATCTTGAATTTCCAGTGATAAAAGGAGGCCAAACTTTTGCACAAGAGTCAACAGGCGGCGCTATTTCGGTCCGATTTTGCACTGTTTTCTATGGGTGCGCATTTCCAATTGGTGTAGTGCAACCATAGGTCGATCGAGGACAACTAGTGGTTGGTCCGTGACGTATCTAGCGCATGTGTAGTGAAGTTGAAATACGAACGACCCGAGTCAACCGTTGTCAGGTCATTAGACAGAGGAGGAGAAAAAATGTGGTCGCAGGAAGGGCAAAAGAGCAAAAATAAAAGTGAAGATGGACGTTTGCTACTGACACATTGTTTTTTCGGCATTTTTCTTATAGCTGGTCCTCTCTGCACTGCGCTTTTAAAAACCGTTTAAAACCAGCGATGCGACCATCCTCGATAGGCTGGTCGCGACAAGGCTCGTTCAATCAACGTTGACTTCGGGCTGGCGTGCGTTTGATCAGAGTTTATATAGTTGTGGTTAACTCAGTGTGGTCTTTGATCGGACTTGCCCACATCAGTAAGTGTCGAATGAGCCCGAAGCCACCGCATTCGCTTCCGAATTTGTTCCCCCCCCCCAACACTGGATACGCCACTGGCAGGGTGCACTCTTCAAGGCGTTATTGAAAGCAAATAACCGTAGGTTCGTTAAAGCTGAACCCGACGGCGGTGGAACCGGGGGGCACCTTTGAAAGTCGTTCCCCCCCCCCACTTTATACGCCTGCCAGGCATTGGAGATACACTGCAACCTCATAATTGTATCCTTATCAGTTCAGCAGGTGGGGCTTGCCCCCTACACACTTTTAAAATCGTTCCATCGCTGTTGGTTGGATGGCTGAACCAAGGCTGTGCATATTTCAAACTCAGGCTGGGTTTGGGCCCCTGGGTGCCATGCACAGCCTCCGCTATTGTTTGTCGTCCAGAACAATATGAGCCAACATGCTGCGTCGTTTTACAATTGGTGCTGAGCCTGACAGTGTTCACGGTTGCCCGCGATCCAGCGTGTCAGGTTGATTCGTCCCCGCCCAGATACGGCGCGTGGTCCTGGGCTGTTCAGTATGGTGTTCTATAAGCGCCAAAATTGTGAGATATCTCTATTGCGCAACAGAGATATCACTATTGCGCAAAGTTACCGCTTAAGGTCAGCAGGTCGCCCTCGACGTTTTGTGTTTAAAAATCTATTATCTTGAGGGGTTTCGAATCCATGTCTCAGTACATGTACTCCCGGGGTTGTTTATATTAGGAAACTTTACACAACCCTCTGGCTCAGTGAAACTTTGTGCGTTACGTTACAATGACCTTTCCGTTGACTCAGTGCGGGACCGGAAACACAATAGAGATAATATTAAAACAGGACATACAATAGAGATATCTCTATTATTAATTATAATATCTGTATACGCGGATTAAATGTTAACTTTGCACGCTGTAAGAGAGCGAATAGGCAGCAGCCTCTTAATTGTTTGTTGTAGACAAATTGTCTGGAGGACTGGGACTAGTACTACTCGGAAATTGCCGGGATGGACCACGGAGAAATACCACTATCTATAAGGTTACAAATCTACCACAAATTTAATGGGAACTTTATCGACGGTATTGAAAGGAAATGATTGGCTGGGTGATTAAAGAGTGACGAATTCTGGGCTTCCACTTATTATGAGGGCACTTCCTACATAATTATGCGAATTTTCTTTTTGCTCTTTTTTCATTTTTTAAAATAAAATATGACAGAAATTAATCCTAATCGATAAATGAACAAGATCAAAACAAGAAAACATCAACACCAAAGAGCGAATAGCATTTTGCAAGCACACGGGGGACGGAAACAAATGAAAACAGTAAAAGCGCCCTCTATAAACACCATGACGCAAAGGGCGATAAAGCATACGACGCCGCGGCGTCGCCTCGTGCGTCGTGATGTGCTAGGCGACAAAGGTGCGACGCGACAGGCGACGGAAGGGGCGACGTTTAGGCAGAGAAAAAATGCAACAAGGAAAGGACTTAAAGCAGCACGTCCCGATGAGCGACGGCACAACACAGCGCGACGTGTGTGTACAAACGTCTTGGCAAGGCAAAGGCAACGGCGCGACCCGACGGCACGACGCAAGGGAGCCATCGTGCCATCGTGTCATGTAGTTGCGTCATCTGGAGAGAGGCCAGAGAGAGAAATGTGTGTCGTAAATAGTACACCGTAGATATGGCCTTAGTACACAGATTGTAGTGAAGGAAATACGTCAAACAGGGTCGTATTCGTAAGCCTCTTGCATGCTAAACAGACTACAAACGATGGCTACATGCACTGTTTTGCATGCACAAGGATGTATTCACTGCGAACACAGGACGAGGGTTCCCCTCGTTTTCTCTGTTTCTGTCCAGCTCCGAATGACGCAATCTACATTCATAATTCGCATATTTTGGCATAAACAGAAAAAAAAACCTTTCTAGCTTGTTGTAGTTGAGCTCTGATAAGACAAATGTCTCTGCGATTGATCTGGATGCTTCCACACTTATTTGACCAGATAAAATCAGAAAAAAATGTTTTCCTGAGAGGTGTCTTTAAAATAACGCCTCGCTAACAGGAAGTTATAACCGCGCGGTCAGTGCCGCGGTCGTGCACAAAGTGGCCAATGACAGTGTGGAAAGCCGCTCATATATGCATAGCGCGCGACGGGCGAAGTTGTGACACTGTTGATGAGCCCCAGAGGGCGCTAAACACAAACATCACAGCGCGAACGACGCCTGCAGTGTCGCGGTGTCTCGTCTCCGCCGCAGTTTATCCCGATTGCTTAATGCAGGTAGGCTGGCCGCGACACTCGTCAATGCGTCGAGTGAGTGCTTGCACCCACGTGCACGTATACATGTACATGGACGTACACGTGCTCACTTCTTCAGGTAGAGTAAATGTTAGAATCTTTGTCTCTACATCAGCCGACACCCTACATCATTAGTGTATTGAGACTACATGTAAGGTTTCTACTGCGACTAGCCAGGATATAAACAGGTGAACATTTGACATTAATGTTGTACATCATACATGAATGTAACGTCCGTGACTCACCCTTACATGTATGATGGTGGCCTACGGTATTCATTGTTTAATTTCGCCACTAAGCTAGGGCATGTTATTACTTAACAAGGCCTAGGTGGTGAAATTAGGGACCTGGCGACTACGGTCACCATAGTAACGCGTGTTAGGCCTATAGTTTACTTCCATTGGTCAATTACGTGTACCGGCCGGTTAAACATTCATGACAGAGTAAGGCCTTCCAAGTTCCAAAACTTTGATGAGGTTGTAGATACATGACATAAGTAAATCTCTGGAAGTGACATACTGATGAACAGTAATGAAAAAGGATAGTGAGTGACTTGGGGGACTTAGAAATGTTACTTCTCTCCATCTGGTTCCAGGCTTGTTTGTCATTTTGTATAGTTACAAACTCACAAGATAGATGCATGCCTGCATAGGATGTCTGTACATGTAGCTCCATTGGAAATACTGATAACATTGTGTCAATTTTCGTAAGTTGGCCTTTTTGGTTGTCATGGTTGTGTTTGTAGGCCTAAGTTATACACATGTACATGTACAGTACATGTACATGTAAATACACGTACACCAATTTAACTACTCTTACATGTCTATAATCAAACCAAACTCCTCGTTGAAACTGTTTAATAGCTTTCGAGTCAACTTGTACATGTACACGTACATGTACATTGGGCGACTCGTGCCTTGGACTACTCGTACATGTGCATTGTATGCATGGTCAACTCGTACCTGGGACAACTCGTACCTTGAGTGAAGACCACTCGTACCTTCATGTTATCAATTCGGTTGTAACTTTCTTGCTCTCCCTTTTCAGCATGTTTAATTGTTAAGATCAGGTTTGACAAAAATATCAAGGAAAAATCTTCATGAATCTTCCGGAGAGATCTTGAGTGCCAGCATAATTTTCTGCATAGTGCCTGCGGGGATTGTATACTTGGGGAGCACCAGTTTTTTGACATTTTAATCTTGCAAAACTGGTAAATTCCCCCCTCCCAAAGAAATGCAACACTCTCTTAATTGCGCTGACCCCCTGGGGGGGGGAATTTCAAATTGTGAGAAAATGTGACTTTTCTACTGATAAACTAACCATGCAAAATTGAATTCACCATGTGTCATGTGTTAAAACACCCAGCCTACAGTTTCCTCAAAACTCAAAACCCTACCCTTTTTTGACAACATTAACCCTAAGGCTACAGTTATTAAGCATAATGTCACAGTTATCTTTCAAGGTCAATTCATGTAAGATGTTCGAGTTGTCTTTACTGGAGTTACGAGTTGTCCAAAGGGCAACTTGGCAAAGTACGAGTTGGTACCGTTACGTGTACGTTGAGTTGATGGTACGATTTGAGCTGTTCCTGTTAAGTAAACACTTTTATGGAGTTACATGTACATATTGTACATGTACTGTACATGTAGTTCCTCATTACGTACATGTACATGTATATTCATGTATGCACCATTCATGTACCATGTGTTCTATGTGTATACATGTACATGCCAACAGAGCTACCGGTACCGTCTTTTGCAAAGTGTAGGACCACCCTTACAAAATGCATTAACTTCAACCAACCAAAAACAAACTTCAACCAATCAATCATGACAGCAGTTTATTTTCAATGTGTAACCTGAGTATCTTGGTTAACAGCTACTGTATATGACTACATTTCCATGATTTGAAATTTAATGTTCGAATATTTAGTCTGCCCTCCTTTATTTCTGATTACTAAACTTGCTTTGAACATATTGAAAATATAGTGCATGAGATATGACGATTTGTGTGTTAAAATACAAGTTCTGGCCAAACCGGAAGTAGAGGTTACATGAGGTCAAGACATCAGTTTTCATCTATAACACATCCCTGACTATGCGCATACCAAATTTGAGTTGAATCGGTCAAATAGTTTACTAGTTATTAGACTGTAAAGAATGAACATTTGAATTGATGGTTTGGGGCACATCTTCCGATGATGGTTAATTACTATTCCAAGTTTGAAACTGGTCGGACTTCAAATCATTGCCAAAGTGCCCCTTAGAAAAAAACAGCGGAAAAAGAAAAAAAAGGAAAAAAAAAACTTTTAACGATTACAATAGCTGTTCCCAATTGAGATTGGGAACAGCTAATAAACAGGCGAAAATTTCCAGAAGCTGATCTTGTGACAGGCTAGCAGTCTGTGATGGGTGTGTGATTTGATGTTTACTGCTCTCTTGCCCAAAGCAATTGTTTTGTTTTCATGTTGGTTTCCCGAAAGCTGGGTCATGAGCACACGTGTACATTAATAATTTTAACTAGCCACAAGACCCACATCATTACTCAGATCAACGACTCTGCCAGTTTGCCACCAGAAAGCTTTGCCAATTTGTTGGACAGATAACAGCTATATTGAGGTTTATCCCTTGGCAGTATGACTGAGCACTTTATAAGATAGTAAGCAAGGTTTTGAGGGAACTTCTTTGGGATTTTTACGTTATTATTTTGTGTACGACATGTATACTTGTACATGTACATACTAATATTTAGTCAAACGGCCGTTTTGATTCTGAGTTCATCCAGCTGTGGAAGTTACACATACAGTATGTAAACTTAATCATACATTTTCATGCAAGTACATTTCTCAAATGAGCAAAACATCCTTTGCGTATATTTGACACAGTTTTGAAGTTGTACTCTTCAGTAACATGTGCACTGCATGTACAGTACATGTACATTACATGTTCCTGTAATGAGATCATTGACGGAGAACAAGGATAACATCACAAAGTTTTGTTGGTTTAGTTTATCTTAAGTTCATTTTGATAATGCTATATAAAAGTCACATCTGTCACATCTAAATATTCATTATCTCGCACATCCTGGCCTTCAGGAGTATTCTATCCGAATAAATGCAGCCATGACAGAGTCCACATAAGCGGCTTCCTTGCTTCGTTAATTCTCTCATGACTAAGAAAATCTTGGCCACAACAAACAGTGATACAAGCATGCCATTTCTACATTGAGTGCTATTCTGCACACCTACATGTAGGCTACTATTAGCAGTCCATTTATTAGGAGTTTTTCCATGGAATTATGGATAAAAGTGAAAAGGGGCATTTTAATATAAATTGACAAACAGGACAACTTGTGAGTTTCTTTCAATTTTGCAGTATGATTATAAAATTATAAATCTAAAAATTCCACTCTCAGCATTTCTTTTAGTTTTATCAGTGGAGAGGTACATGTTATTATGTAGGGGTGACTTTGATGCCTGGTTATTGAGTTCTGGCTAGGGTCAAGTTAGTATGCTGTGTGAGTGTATTGAGCAATGAGCACTCAGTCTGGACACAAGTTTAGTTTGCGTGTTCCCGGGATAAGAACTCCAGGTTGCAGGGATCACTTCACACAAACTCATTAGGCAACAAATCATAATTTCAGCCTGCAAGATTATTGTAAACTTTTTGGATGATGAGGTCATGATGATACCCACACTTGCCATGATGTTGTTTGTATTTTGATTTTGTTTGTTTGCTTTTTTTGTTATTCAGTTTGTTTTACAAACCTGTCGGACAAAATGATTAAAACCACAGTACATACATGTACATGAAATTAAGGGTCCAAATTATGACCTTTTTATGTCCCTGTTCGACCTTTGTTATTTGACATGGAAATATCACTGGAATTGACTTCATTTTATTATTACTATTTATTTGGCAGGTAATTTGCATTAATTCCTCACTCTTGGAAATTAGATGTCAGATGTGACAGACACACAAAAAAATGGACCCCTAATTTCTGGAATTACTCATATACATGTATATGTACATTGTTAGTCTAGTATCCTAAAACATGTACATGTATGTAACTACGGTAGTGGCTGCAGACACTGGGTTTTGGCTAGTCATCTTACAACTGATTATACCGGTATGTACATGTACCGGTACACATGGAAATGACCAGTAGTACATGACATATTCAACTGATATACATGTACCAGGTACCATTGTACAATACTTTATTACTTATCACAGTTTATTAGACTTTGGCCAAAGTCACTGCAGTTGTAAAACGAGGTATGCACCACTGACCCAAAGTTAACTAGCATCTCCTTTTTAACCGGTATTTGCATATTGATTCTGCAGTGATAAAGGTCTGAAGTCTGTTTCATAGGGATAAAAACCTGATCCAGCTAGATGTAACTGGTTTTGTGGATGTGAAGGGGAGGTGACCTTCTGAGAAAGACACACCTGTACACTGCCGCTTGCCGTGTGTGATGTAACCACTCTGTAGATTGTCAGCATTTTCTGCATTTTAGATGTCAAGTTACATGTATTGCTTCATTTACACATGTACATGTATGCCTGCTGCCTAACTTCAGATACATTTGTGCTCCTTGATCAGCAGGTTCGGTGTAGTATATATTCTACCGTGTATTTTTTCAGGTGTAAAATGTGCCAAACATACAGTACATGTATAAGCTAAACGTAGCAAATATACATTTACATGTAGGCCAAGTACCTGTTTTTGCTATATAATATGTGTACATGTAACTCCTACTTTTGTACCAGTATCCTGAAGTACAAGTGCGCAATAGATCACATTATCAATGTGGATACATGCTTGCTGGGAAGCTTCATAAAGTGACTTCGCACAAGCCAAGGTGCACTACATGTACATCTAGATATCCTCTGATAAGTTGGAATTTGAACTGTTTGCATTTTCTCTATTGCGACAGAATTCGTTGATGTTAGATGGTTTCTGCCCTTCACCTTCTTACAATGGCTGGCTCTCTACACATTCTCCTAGCAGTATGTTTGCTGTGTCTAGTTGAGGCAGAGAAGACAACCTTGGAGGATTACATCAATACATGCATGGATGGCAAAAATCACAAGAGCAAGCCCGGACGTGAGGCTTCGCTATTTGATCAGGTACATATAGATAACAGAGAGATTGGCTCTAACCTGTTATCAGGTTTTCTGTAGGTGTTCTGTTCCTGTAACATTACTTATATCACAGCAAAAAAACCTCAAAAAGCAGAGCGAGGAGATGAACGTGCATTCAGGTGTGGTATACATACAACAGGGTTCCCAAGGCCTGAAAAGTCATGGAAGTTTGTAAAAATGACTAAAATCATGAAAAAGTCATGGGTTCTTTCAACCACTGTGTGTGAATTCTGTTAGCAGAAATAAGTGCATAAAATGTGTGATTTGATTCACAATTTTAAAAGTCTGAATAGTCTAAGAAATTGCTTTGTAAGTCATAGATTTTCCTAATTTGGTCATCGAAAAGTCATGGAATTTGATTGTATTTAATTGAGGTGCAGGAACCCTGATACAATCATACATGTGTAAGCACTGTTGTCCATATCTTCTTGTTTCATCTGCAGTGTGCTCCCTGGAAGAATAGATCATGTTGTACGCCTGAAGTGACAGAGCAAATGCATGTTTCACCAACATGGCACAATTTTGATTGGAACCATTGCCCAACACAGCTGTCTCCGCTATGTAGGAAGTTCTTGATGCAAGACCTGTGCTTCTATGAGTGCTCCCCTAATGTGGGTCCATGGCTGGTGCCTGTAAGTACATTCTAGATATATTTTGGAGGATGGAGTGTGTAACCTGTCATTGATTTTGATTAGTTGTATATACATGCATGCACATTGTAGGAGTTCTTGTAAGATCTTGGCCATCAATGTTTATGGTGAGCAAGGTCAGTGAATGTGCATTTTCAGTCAGTATCACAGATGGGTGACTCCTGTGCACAACCTCTGACTTTACTTCCCTGTTATAAATCAATCTCTCAAAACCGTGAATTGCAAAGAAAATGTGCCACACTGGTGACGGCAGGTTTGAGGGAGGTTGTACAGGATGGACCAGTTGTGTGTAATCAAGCAATTGTAAAGATCCACTGATCGCTCTCAACGTTTACTTTTACACCAGAAAAAGTGTAACTGAGTTTGTTTACAAGAGAAGATATATATCCCCATAGGGCTGTGCTGAATATCCAAATATTTGATCATCAAATATTCAAATATTGTTTCCAAATTTGAGTATTGCAATGCAATGTTCATGACAAGGAAGGGGGAATTTGAACTTATTTTTAATGAGAAAAACTGCACTATGGAGGCTTGTTTCAAGCAGATTCAAGCAGAAAAATGACAGAAATCTTACTCCGATTCAAAAAGTAAATTATTCATTATAAAATGAACAAGGAATAGAATTTTTCAACTGGGCAAAGAAGTATTATTTGTCACTTTCATCTCACTAAATCATGGCTGGAGATACTCCTAGAAGTGAGAAGCTTTTATAGTGATTTAGAGTGTACAATTTTGTGCATTACTGCAGCTGATTTGTACATGCATATGGTTTTTTCATCAACAATCTGCCGGTTGATACGACTGAATATTCAGATGTTCAATCTAATTGAAGGTGGAATATTCGATTATTGAATTATTCAAATTGACTCAGGCCCCCCCAGATGCTGTTGTTTTCATTTATTTCTACCATTACAGAGCCACTGTCTTCAAAAGCTTCAGCATGTCATGACATAAGGTGTTTCTAATGTTTAGTCTTGTGTGCATTTTTTAAAATACACATGTACTCTTGGTGCTTTATGCAATATACATATGCCAGGTTATATAAATTGTCTTTATACATGTGTATCTGAAAAAGTGTTTAAAGAGATATGTGTTTTTGTAGTAACCTTTCTTCCGGTACATAAGGAAAATAATTCGTCCACAGTCACCCAGTGTTTATGATGTTTTTGCAATGGTTTCCTTTTTGGGGGGTCATCAGCACAACATTAGCATCAGGAACGAAAGGTTTTTGGGTGTACCCCTGTGCAAGACAGAATGTGACGCATGGTTTGATGCCTGCAAAGACGACTTCACATGCAAAGATAATTGGTCCAAGGGCTGGGATTGGTCAAGTGGTAAGTATGTAATTTGATAGTTTCGTTGGAGGGCCTGTTGTGAACAGCTTCCTGATAAACAGCGACTGCCGATTTTCTCCACTTTGGGGTTTTAGTAGTGTACTAATGGGCAATTCTACAAGTAACTTGAATTGGTCACGCTGTTACTGATCTCGTTATTATTCACAATTTATTAACCAAAAGACATTTTACACAAATAAAATTGGAAATAATAGTTTGTGCCAATGCACTTTATTTCCACTTTCATTTTATGAAAAACTTCTTTCTGCTTTTTCAAGATGTGCTTTGCCTCCTGCAGGTACATGTACTTGTGCAAATCATAACGAGGTGGTAGCAATGAGGACATTTTGTAGGATACTTCGAACCCTAACCCTGTAGGCTTTTTTCTCCAAGGTAGTCTTTGTAATTACTGGCACATGACTGGACAGGATCTGTTAAACTCCTAACAGGTCAACAGTATTGAAGTTTGAGTCATTTGGGATGGATGGGTCTGTGCGGTAAACAGATACAATGCAGGCTAGTAGTGTTATACCTGACAAAATCAAGCACAGTCCAAAAGATGATACCACTAGCCAGTCACCTTGCAGAGCAACCCACTTTGTGTCCCCAGTCTCAAACAGAATCCAATGCTGTCACCTGAGGCATTTTTTCCTCAATCTAACAAAGTTCATAGTGCACCAGTATGGTACATGTACTTGACAACACCTACAGTTGAAGTTTGAGGGACTTTGGGTGGTTAGGGTTAATACTTCCTTGGCTAGAGTCTCCCCCCCCCCCAATGTTTTGCATCAATAAACAGTGGCAGTTCAATACACAGTGTGAGAGGACGGACCTGCATATACATGTGTGCATCTGTTCATCTCTTTTCTAAGACTGTGGAGTCATGTCTTGGGAGTGTATGGAGGTTTCATCCGTAACTGTGTGTTAAAGGAATCTGTGTTGAGTTTGGACTGAAAGTGATCTGTCGGTCATGTTTACAGCTTCTTGGTCCTCCACGATGTTGCTGATTGTTTGTCTTTGCACCTTTAGGAGGTAATGAGTGTCCCGCTGGTTCAACATGTCGCACCTTCAGGGAAACTTTCAAGACAGCTGAATACATGTGTGAGAATATCTGGGGAGGATCATTTGAGGTAGTCGCAGACAATGAGCCCTGCATGCTTCTGTTTTTCAATGGTCCCATCAACCCTAATGACAAGGTACGTCTGCCGAGAATGCTTTCAGGGAATCCTGTCTCCATTAAAATCTGACACCTTTTGGTTTTCTGTCTGCAGGACTTAAACAATCCAATTTTGTTCCTGGTACAGTGGCGCAAAGACGGTGCTATTAGTTTAGTGATTTTTCCACACGAGCAGTAGATTTAAAAGGGGTTGAGTGTATCAGCATGTTTATTGTCAAAACATCATTTTTATAATTCACAGAGCCAGATGAAAACTGATCAGTAATTCTGAATTTCAATGCTTGTGATTGTGTTTCAACACAATATTGAACTTTGAGTTATAGTATTTAAACTTGGCATACGTGTACAGTATATGAACATACATGTACATGTACGTACTCAATCTTTGTGTACGCAGTTCTGTCGAGGCATGGGTTTAACAAAATATTGCAGGATTATACCCAGATGGGACTTAAAATATCCTCAGTTTTTTTAAGAATTCATGTTCTTGTTTTGATTTTAAATGATGTGTTTTTTCTCATACTAAGCTGCACAATGTAATGAGAAAAATTTACAGGATGTCCTTTGTGCGAACCTTTCCTTTGGTAAGGCTGAATTCTCTGCATTCAAATGTGGTATGCTGTAACGGCCTGAAACTGAAATTCTTATTTCTTACAAAGAGTTCATCTTTGTGTGATCACTGATCTCTGCTGATGTGTTTGTCTGTGATAGATTGCACGAATGAAGGCAGAGGAGCTGCTGAATGCTGGTGCAACAGCTTCGCTGCATGCATGGATGCTGCTCAGTCTTACCTTTGCATCTATTGGCCTGATGTCAAGATAAATACCAGCGTGGGCTGAGTGGAAACACTGCAGTTACAGGCACTTATCATTGGTTGAATGGACTGCCCAATTAGTGAGAAAACCTGTGTTAGAATTGTTGTAATTTATGAAGGGACTGAACATTGGAGATACGTGTAGAAAGATGTACATGTGTATGTAAGAAGAGAATGCAGTTGTACAGCATTTGTATCCACCCATCACGGAAGCAATTCAGTCAGAGGTGCTTTGTACAACCCCAAAAGAGCTGGGTTTCTCGGACCATCTCTTTTTTAGGATTTGGTTCCTCACCCAAGATTTCAGCTATCCCACACCTGAGGTTTTTATTAAACGTGGCATGGATTTAGAGATGCTCCCTATCAGTAAATATGTGAAGTTTCAATTAATGTGACAAACGGTTTCGTTGTCATGTTCATTTGAATTCCAAGGCCACGTGTGTGCCAGCCCACGTGTATTTAGTGAAAAGGTATACTTTTTTGGCTGGCCTGTCTCGGAAATATGGGCACTGCATGAGACCAGTATGTGTCAAACCGAACACAAAGTTACTGAACAACTCCTAAAGGCTTGGCTTGTGAAACAGAAACCACTGTGGTGACAGTGGGAAAAAATGTTGACGGGGACAGATTCGTGGCCTCCGGCTCTTTCAGGGTTGATACAATGAAAACAGTGATGGAAATTCCGCTTGGCCATTTTTATCTCTCCACTTCTTACCGTCACTGAAATTTCAAACTTTTAAATCTATCTTCACCTGTGTATACATGTACATTTTTGGCTCTTGACATCTGTTGTCATGTGCTGTCACCTGTCTCTTTAGGATTCGTACACTTTTTTCCTAGCAGTGACAAATTCCAGTGACATAGTTGAGGGCACTTAAACAATGTTAGTGCTGTGTGCCATTTCTCTCCTCTGTGCACGAGTATATCTTCACTGGTGATGACTGGAGAGGCTGTGGTGGCAATCTAATGTCACTGGTGCCCCGGTCCCATACCAGTGCCCACTTGTTGAGGACCCTAAGAATTTCCTAATTTATTGGTGTGGTGGTGCATACTCAGGTCCAGATGTGCATGAAGGAGAATACACACTGGTGTGCCCTCCAAAGGAGATAATTCCTTGAAACAAAAGGCTGCATTCTTTCTTCATAAATGAAGCCAATAGGCTGGTGCTTGTTAAGTCTTCCAATTGGCATTAGAAATGGATGGTTAGTCAGGCTTTGATGTCATTAAGTTCACTGTTTGTAGTCAGTCACACAGGGTGTTGCATGTGTAATACGTCATCAGTGCTTGAATCCTAAATCCATCCTTTCCATACCTCACCTCGCCGCCTCCAGACCGCCTCCATAAGTAGCTTCAATGTTGGAACCTCTGCAGTCTCCTGACGACGGACAGATGTCGGAAACATTGAGTGCCCTCCATTTCTTTTCAGAACCACACATGCTCAGAAGGAGATATAGTTGCATGGTGCTTCCTCAGACCTCGATAACTAATACTTGCTACCATCACCATGAAAAGCGTCAACGCTATCATCAGTGTTGTTGAGTCTGCAATGGACTTGAGTGGCTTTTCTAGCAGGATAGAAGTACAGTATTGTCAAAGAGGAGACAAAAATTCAGACTTATTCTCTTAAAAAGCATTAGCTGTCACCCAAGTTAAAACCCAAAAAACAACAGAATTTGAAAAAAAATCAAAATGGAATTCAGTGATTATCATTTGCTTTCTTGTTCAGGAGTGTTCCTGATCACTAAAAGTGTAAAAGAAGTTTTTGAAATTGTTCAAATGTTTTTATAATTCTGTCCTTGAAAATGAGTGAAGATTGAATAGTATGTTTCGTTTGTTATAGCAACACCAACACATTGAACAAATTATTATATTTTACATCAGAGACTAAAGTTGGTGCAATTTAATTGGACGGATTTTTAAATCATTCTCTTAATTGTGTTTGTTTTGCCCCACCTACTTGTACATGTAGATGGCAGTGTTTCGTTTGTGGTGTTACAACTTCTTGATTACACTTTATTTATTGTGTAGCATTTCTCATGTCATGTCTGTATAAATAAAAGGGATTGTTGTATTCACTCCATTTGGAATTGCACATATTCAGTATTACTATTTATAAGTATAAAAATCGAGAGATAACTTGTGGACATATTAATTATGCTTTTGTGATTTGTACATGGAAGTGCCTAACAATCATTTTCCTTGTCTTAGAAATTACATTCATTCTCTGGAAAGTCAATAATTGCAGCATTTAAAAATTTGTTTTATGTTGATATTTTCTAATTTTCTATTGAGTATATCTGATAAAAACTCTTTTTGAGTATTTGCAATTGGCTGTTGTGGAAACTGTAAACTGCTATGAAAGCGCGCGAGTGTAGAACATACACATACAATCGCATCTAAGAACAATTTAGCCCCTCCCCCCGGTGATTGACATTCGATGTTTGTTGATCTGTATTGTTACCTACATTTGCTACTAGTATGTGGACTCAGTTTTTACTTTAATTTAAATTGAATGGTTTATAAGCATGTCACCTTTAAAAAGTAAAGCATGGAATCGCACCCTTAGTTAAAACTTGTGATAATTGATTATTGTTCAGTTGTTTACATGTATCATGTACAATTTGAACTCTTATCGGATCTCCCGTTTTAGAAGGTCCTTGATATGAAATTTCTTAGAATGCTCTTATTGTGAACTTTATACTCTTCTCCATTGTATAAAAGTATTTGACCTTCTTTACCTTGCTCAGAGCGCCCTTCGTCAGCTATGGACGGGAGTTAAGACAGTTTGTGTCCTTCCTCCATGGTTAAGGGTACTGAAAAGTGCACATCTTAAAATATTTAAACTTGTCCTTGCTTTTCTGGACAACTGAGGGCGGTGTTTCTATAATGCCAGGGAAGGGACAGTTTACATATATACTGTATATCTGTGGTTTCTGTTCAAACATGGAGGAATGGTTCAAAATTGTGAACCCAAATGTGCACATGACATTTCCGAGAAAAGGGGTCAGTCTTTGGCGAATAACAAACATACGCAGCAGTAAAATGCCACTGAAACGGAAAGTGAGGGCAGAAAAGTATCAGACATTTCAATAATTAAGCTTAAAAATAGCGAACATATATAAAAAAACGTTTGTACATGTACCTCAGAAAAAGCATTGAAGTAGAGTTGATTGAAACACATGCAGCTAGATGAATTTTCAAAGGTTGTAGTAAAAAGAAATGTATTGCGTAGACGCGTAATAAAGATTAAAAAAGAGTCAAATGACGCTTTGGGATGGCTTTGGGTGTATTCTTTTGTATTTGGGTTTTGGAAAAGGCCATGGTTTTTTTATTTTTTATTTTTTTTTTTTACTTAAATACGGGAAATAGCCTTCAAATATGACTTTGGATTACAACCGTACAAAAAATTCCAATAGACTTTGTTAGTCTGACATTTTGCTCTTATAGTGAATTGCAGTGCAGGCAGGGCGTGCATGCTGTTGTAAAGTGACTTCCGTACAAATGACGATTGACCAATATTTCACGATTGGAATCTTGGTAACTGTATGATTTAACATTAATTTTTTCAGATCTTTATAGTCGAGCCAAGAAAGACGAATGAGGCCTCGTAATACGCCGTGCCACTGTCGTGTTGAACTTAATTAATTAATCGCACGGCAACAAAGCGGCAGTAACGCTAAACACTGAGGTTAATTAAAATCGAGCAGTTTCGTGTCTGCCATTCAAAACACCCTAAGCGCGGCAGATCTGTCGAGCTTAAAACGCCTTGCGTGCCGGATGCAATTCGGTGCCAACTTTCCTGAATGCCTTGTGTTTTAGCAAAATTGGTCAACCACTGATTTCATGGTAAACAATTTTTCAGTAGTTTTTCCTTTTTTTTTAAATAATTACATTATTGAGATCCGTGGGCACTTTATTCAATTGAAATGGTAACTAACGCCACCATTTTTGTTAGGGCCAGTGGAAAGCTGAAATCAATAGATTTTGTGTCAGGCATGCCACATATAAAAACAGCCCGTACTTTACAAATTTTGTGCAGTGGTAATAACATTTACAAAATGAATCTGAATAGGGGACACATTGTGTATGAGATTTGGTAACGCAGACTGTGCATGTACGTCAACATTGTGTGCATGCCGCGCCTGCATTCGATATGACCGGTCGACCACGGAGCTCTCTCTCTCTCTACTCAATGACAATTCCACTTTCACAGAGAATCGCACTGCGACTCGAGAAACGCATATTTGAGGGATTTTGTACTTACCACCATGTATTACAAACACTGGCCTAAGAGCAACGATGGAAAGGAAGAATTTGTTGTTAGGCTGACGGGGATAAAATTATCCCGTTGATAGGATTTTGTGCACGAGTACTATTTGCATCTGGCCGGCGAGAAACGCAGATTTGAACAGAATTGTAGATGTCAGTAAAGCAAAGATCGTATAGCGCCACTACGCTATACGATCTTCGCTGGAAAGACAGGTTATACAGAAACACTTACATGGTCGATATTGCGATGGCGGCCTGAACTTGTGGAATGCCGATAGAGGTTGTGAGGGGCGCATCAGGATTTTTTATGGGGGGGGGGTTCAGGAAATTTTGGCTCATTCACTTGGAAGATGGAGCAATTTTAATTTGTGTTTTGTCCTTAACAGTCAGTGTTGTTTACCGTACACGCAAAAAACAAGACCCCTTACCTATATGGTTTTATGCATGCTTTTTAGGGGGTCGTCCAACCTTTAGGCATAGGCCACTAAAAAAGAAAGCAATGGGGGAAAGGGACACCCCTCCTGGATCTGCACTTACCGGTTGTTTGTTCATGAACGGTACCTGTATGAAAGGGCATTTGTAACATTAAATGAACATGTGCCCTTTCAAGCGTGCTAAACGAACTGACTCTAAGGGTTTTCACTCAAAACATGTACAATTATTTTCAATACAAGATTGACAGGGAAGTGGCCCTTTATGTAGCCATCTACAACATACACATCCTGTTAAATTCATTTCCAAATCAACATTGAACTGCTGGATGATGTTGTCAGAACTGTATTATTTATCATGGTTTGTGTCATCATCATGTTCCTATTCAGCTCAGGCCAAACAAAAAATAGCTGTTTCCGGTTAACCGACCCAACCTCGAAAATCATGCGGAACCCATATCTTTTTATTTGACAAATCAACAAAATATTAAAACTAATGGTGCCCTGCCCCAAGCCTCAATTTGTGTACATCATCATGTACACGTTGTTTTGTTATAATCTTTTTTTTGGGGGGGAGACATGAGATGGATGGCTCATGAATATTTGTATTTAAACAACCAGCTGCTTTACGATTCAATCACAGTGCTGATATGTAATATTGACATACACAGGTGCAGTATTAATCGGACACTGACATGTAGTACCCGTACCTGTTACAAATATATGCCCCCCCCCACAAAAGATACAGACCATCATCTGACCCTAATTCTTTTAGGCTATAAAAATTTAGAGTAAAAAAAAAAAAATTTAACCAAACAACCACCCTCATTTATTTTCCGGTGTAATAGGAAACACAACTAATTTTTTGTTTGGCCTTATCTTTCATCTCCTCACCAACAGGTTACCTACACAAATTTTCCACAGCGCAATACCAGAAACCACGAGAAACACCACAAAGAATCTTACCGTTTTCAAGTAAACATTCAACTTTTTTTAATTAACATTTAAATTTCTCACAAATTACATTTACTAGTAAGAAAACTTTTGTGTTTGATGTGAAAACTTCAGGACACACGGTACAGTGGGTAGTTTTGTTGAACACTGCAAACTTCAATCACAATGGCATTCAAACTTCTAAAATTGTGCCTACAAACTTTCCCAACAACCTCTACATAATTCCCAATTTTTCCTTTCTGTTATAATCAAGTTCTATAATTCTAGTCAATCTCATCGAATTAAATGTATTAAAAGGTCTCTTTTTTCTTCTGAAAGCAGTATACACTTTCCAACCCTTTTAACAGGTCATGTAGATTTTCAAATTAATGTGAAACACATGTACAGTACATTGGAGATGACTGCACAGTGGAGACTGAATGATGAACATAAACAGACTCATTCTTCAAGGATCCCTGTCAGCTCTCAAGAACACAGTGAAGGTTGCTCTTTGCCCACTTACAATGGATGAAATGGAGTCCACTAGCTGACTAGTGGCAAAGCACCGGTATGCGTGCATCTTTTCTGCTTTTTACATGTCTTATAAGAAAACAAAGTTGACTCTTGTCAGAGGAAACTGTGACATCTAGTAGTATCTTTCAGGGCTCTGTGTCGGCTAACGTGTTTAGTGTATCCACAACTTGCTGGCTGGTGAAGTTGGCAAGCGGTGTGCTGACCTCTCGGCCAAATGCTGCAGACAGAAATAAAAGTGATAGCAAAGCTTGCAATACTCAGGTCAATTACATGTATGCAAACTGAGCTAACTTAGGGAAGGCTTCTAAGGAAAACCCAGGAGGGGTTTGGCATTATGATAAATGTAGTTCTTGAAGATCTCAGTTGTCTCACCATATCTAGCATAGATCTTGGGTTGTATTCCACTGCATTCTCTGATAAGAAACGGGAACTTTGGATTTGCTTTCTTCATATCCACATAGTGAGTCTCAACCCATTCCCTGCAGTGACAGATAACAGTTGGTATACATCTTAAATTGAGAAAAATACTGCTTTGCTACAAATGTTACTACACAGCAAGTTTGACATACATGTACATGTACACATGTATTTGCCTTGTTTTAACCACTTGTTGCCGGGTGCTTTTAAAAATGCAATGCACACATACCATGCATACAGGAGATTTTCAAGATTTTCAGTTTTCAAAATTTTTCGAAAATTCATCATTTCATTTAATGGACGTTTACACCCACACAAATGACTGTTTGGTGGCTACTCTAAGCTGACAGGCAACCTTCATTGACTCCTGAGTATTTCAGCTAGGCCTGCTGTCCTGTAAAGAGAGCCCAGAATTGTGAGGTGTTGCGTAATTTTCTTTGTCCCCTTTGTCCAGTGAATGCGAATGGCATCTATTCAAACGCGGCTGGATTAGCATGCAGCGGTGCCATGTCGCTCATCATTGGGCCCTGGAGCACTTTTGTCCGTGGTGCTAATCCGCAGGCACGCTATGCCCAAAATAGTGGTATACTGTTTAAAAACAGTGATGGATTACCTTCGAAAAATGTAAGCCGAAAACGATGGCAACTCCCAGCATTTCTTTGTTCTGAGTACGGACCAGCTCTTTTGTCCCATTTCAGGCACCCCGGCTCTGCGTATAAACCCATGGTGCTCAAAACGGGGTTCCCCAGCAGCAAGTGGTGATTAAACACCTTTTCTCATATTATACTTTGCCCTTTTCTGTTGCTTCTTTGCATTTCTGGGAAAAGGGTCGTCAGACATTCCTGAGGCTTTGCATTTGAAAGCGAGTTGAGCCTCAATTAACATCAACTACATTCAAAGAAATCAACATGGCATGGTACATTGTACATGTACATAGATTAAGGCATCTGTACTGCCACCAGACAGACATGACTGACAATTGAAGTATGCTCAGTATTTTGATTTTAGAAATCAAGGTAACTGGTTCATGAACATGTACATCAAGAAATTATCTGGGCTACATTCCATACTTAGATGAAAAAAAATGGGCAGATCCAAGATTTTTGGCTTGGTGCTGGGGATGGGAAATTTCTGTTGGTTGAGATGAGGGGGGAAATAGACCTACACGTACATGTACATGTATCCAAGAGTCACCATAATTTGGGCACTTAGTACTTGTTCTTAAACTTTTTCTTCTTCAAAACTTGTTCTTAAATAAACTAAATTAATAATGGCCTTATTTCAGTAATTGAAAGTTTGACTAAAATCCAACAAGGAATAATATTATGAAGAACATCGGATGTCACCGAAGCAGCAGGAACAACGTCATCTGGAAACGAGTGGGATCAGCTGTATTAAAACATACGTCACCAAAATTTGCACATATACGTTGCAAACGTCATTTTACGGGGTATCAGACAGTAATGCCAGGCTAATTCTGAAAAATCTGCCAGTAAATGTCTCTTAAATGAGGAATTATTTGTTTCATTAATTGCTTTAGTGTAGTGATGCAGTTTGAGGGGGAAAAAACATTTTTATTCGACATAGCACAATTTTCCATCACTGTCTCTTTTTCGTTCACCTAGTTTTTAATTTTTGTCGATGTCATTTCAAGTTACAGTGAGGCATGAAATTTTGTTCTTTCAAATAAGTCATATTAGCATTAATAAATGTATGAGTAATTGATCATACAAACTTTTCTTTCTAGGTGTATTTCTAAAAAAAATCACAAAATACAGTGCCGCCGAATCTGCACCCATAGTCGGCAAAGGAAATCTCAAAATATAAGGTGCGCAATGCTTTTTCAGGCCCCGTATTTTTTATAACGCCCTCAGTTGTTGGCGAAAGTCGACAGAATTTGTCATCAGTGCCTGTGTCGGATGTCCAACACCGATCGTGAGTGCGAGTGAACAACTATCATTCATCTATTTTCTAGACAATTTCAACCAGTCAATTTTTGTGTTTAGTCTGTAAAGTAAAACACTATCCTCTGCAGACATTTTTTTCAAATTCTCACTGGAAAAGCTTTTATTTCACACATAGGCATGATAGGCCTAGCTAAAAAAAGAAAAAGGCCGAAGTGACAATTGATCATCCAAAGTAAATTAACGTCGGTGCATAATTTCATTCAACATGTTCAAGAGGTTTCACAACGAGAAAGTTCGATGCGTGAATATTTGTAAATTGTATGCGCAAATTTAGGGTACTCCATGATATACTGTCGGTGAAGCCATTTCATCTCTTTGTTTTGTCTCAAGTTACTGTATGACTGGGGCCACTAAAACATTCCCTAAAAAGTGAAGTTTAGCTACAAAAATCCTGACATGCCCAAAGCATGCTATAGGCCCAAATGAGACCTTGGCCTACCACTTTGCTGCCTACAAAAAACACTTAATGTTAACATCATCCTGATCATGGTACAGGTAGGTATATGTACATGTACACCGTAGTGTAGGCGCTTTACAGTCACTTCGCTCCATTTCCACGTTGCCCCTAACCACTTCGCCCCTAACCACTTCACCCCATCCCCACTTCACCCCATTTCCACTTCGCCCCATTTCCACTTTGCTGTCCGTGCTCGAGTGTGTTACAAGCCTCTTCAAAAATGGTGTTTTTACTTGTTGCATCTAGGCCTATGCCTCTGTTAGGTAAAGAACACAATGATCGATAATCGATGGAGCGAAGTGGAATGGGGCGAAGTGAAGTGGTAACTAATGGGGCGAAGTGGAAATGGGGCAAAGTGACCGACACCCGTGTAAGCATGGTCAACAACTATGTGAAGTGATGGTAGGGCACAGCTTGTGCACAGTTTCAGGCTTTTAAAATTTAAGTTTAGTTTTACTAAGTTTTAGACAAGTCTCATACTAGCCTAGGTACTCGTTTGTACACGGGGTATCAAGTGTCGTCCGTATAATGGATCTCTTTCCTATATTTGTATTACCTGACACCTTGACTCGAAGGAGAGCGTTGGCACAAATGAATTCTAAGTTCCTTCAAATGTTGAGGCAGTCTTCGTACGGCAGCAGCAGACGCCATTTCGCACTTCGGTCTATGCAGCGTATCTGCGTACCGTATACCGGTTACCGGCCGGTCACTCTGTTCTAAAATTAACTGCCCCTTCCCATCATGCACTTTAATTGGCCGCTATTTTCAAGATGGCGGACAACCGTCGTCAGGAAAGGAGTCTTTGAGGGCGGAAAACTTTCGGGACATTTCCGCGCTTTGTTGTTTGAAGTCATCTGAAAATTTACCGTAAGTATTGAGATACCTTTGAGCAAAGTATTTCAGTGGAAAGTTGAAAATATTGGTTGTTTATGCCATGAAATGTTTAACGCATTGTCCGCCACCGCGTCGATCGGTACGGTGTGCGATCGTGTGATTGTTTTAGGCCTAGATAGAAGAGATTAATGTAACTTTACACTTCTGAACTAGATGTGCAGTCTTCCTATGCATATCTGTTAAATGCATGTGAAGAAAACAGACAACAGGATCACATTGGAGGCCAGATGTTAATCATTTTAATGGGAATACTGAGTTTTAATTTTGATTTTATAAATGTGTTTAAGTGAAAATAAAAGTTGAAAGTTTTTGATTATTTATTGCATTGCCATGGTTACTACATTTACTAATGATGCTGAATGTTTGTTCTCAGGGTAAGGCTCTTATATGGAAGTAATTTCCCTATAATCACTACATGTGTTATATCACTTAGCCATTGGGAAGTGATTAACATGTCCCACAATATGTAGGCCTACACGTACATGTACCGGTACATAATTTATACAGGGTGTTATACATGATGTAGCAAGGAAAAAATTGGAATGTCTACTCAAACATGTCAGACTGTCTCACTCAGACAAGACAATTGACATGTGTCATGTCAGCACATATGTCCATGGCGTTCATTACCAAAGTGCGTGTGAGCAAGATTTGCACTTAACAACGGCATAGGCCTAGCAACAGGCTACGTCTGATTTTGTGCACTCTGATTGCAAAATGAGGCATCATCTTTGTTAATGGATTTCCAGGAAACAGAGCATAAATAATGAAATTTTTCAAGACAAATCCAAATTACATTAATCTTGTTTATTTAATGCAAAACTGTCCTGCTGTCCTCAACTTTTTACCTTGGCCAACACATCAGCCTCACAGAGAATGTACATGTACATGTACCTACATGTACATTGTACATTCAACGCCTTTCTATAGAAAATAGCATACACACTGTACTCCACTATAACATGGATAAACACATCATCACATTTTGTCAAGAGATCATGTGAAAAGAGAAAGCAAAATACAACAGCTTTTTTCTTCTTGCATGTCTTGGGAAGAATGTTGCCCATTCAAACTGCAAATCAACTGCATGTACATTTACAGTGTGTTCATTGGGCACTTTACATGTACATGTACACATTGAAGTTGGTTTGAGTGTACACTGTTATTAAAAGTGGATTCACACCTCTTGCAAAATCTTGTCATACGTATACATGTACATGTACATGTATGTTAATGCACGCAATGCATGTTTGACTGCTGTTCAGAAAAGAACAAGTACCTTGTAGAGTTTTCAAGATGCAGATGATTTCTGCATGGGTATGTCAGTTTTTGTCAATCTTTAGTGCGGCAGTATCTTTTCCATTCTAGCATTTATCAGATTCTCACACTTTGTGGTATTGTACAGTGACCGCTGACCACCATGAATAAGTACACAAAGAAGAAGCAGATTGGAGAAGGATCCTTTGGCAAGGCCTTGTTGGTCATCCACAAGGAGACGGGAAAAGAATATGTCATCAAGGAGATCAACATTTCCAAGGTAAATTTCAACAGAATCATCCCAACACAACACAGGCAAGAACATCTACATGTAGTGTCATTGGAGTGCTTGTCACCTCTTTTTACACTTTATCAAGTACCACAGAGAACTTTCTGGTAGCATGCTGATGAAAATATATTATTTGGGATCCATTTGCTTCAAATGGTTTACACAAGTGAGTCAATCCATAAATTTTGGATCCAATTTTTTTTTGTTTTGTTTTTCTGTCCCTGTCACATCACACATTTGATTTTGTAAGTTTAAGATACACTGTTTAATTTCCAACTGTCCGTACATATGTAAGTCATGTACGTATAAGTAATACAAATTGCCTGCCAAACAAAACAAAATAGTTTGAAGCCAATTTCAGTGATACTCCCATTGGTCAGGTTCAACAGGGACAAATAATGCCCCACTTCTGGATCTCAAATTCACAGAATGACCCAAATAACACTAGTGTTGTTTTGGGCAAGTTTGAAACTGTCAAATAAATTGTATTTAAACTACATGTAGATACATGTACATGTAATTCTTTGAAGGATCAAGAGGATCGTTAGTGTGCAGTCTTTCTTTAGTTTCTGTCTCTGCATGTATGTTTCCTCTGAGAGTGTAGATATCCAGCGTTTGAGGAGATGTATCTGCATTCCCCTGACAGAGTACAGAGTACATGTACGTGAATCTGTTGCAAATGTGTTGTGATTTTTTTTTTAATTTAGATGAAGCGGAAAGAAAAGGAGGAATCCAAGAAAGAGGTGAGTTGACTAATTGCAGTAGCAGGTGCTGCAGTGCTTAAAATTCATGTTCATGAAAGGGTCTTCTGAAAATTTGTAGTTTTTCTTAAACAATACTTTAATTGAAAAAAAGAAAGTTATAAACCTGTTATTGTATGCCGTAGGTTACCTGTTTGCAAATTAAAATAAGATTCCAATCTAGTTTGAATAGGAGACTTAAAAGTTTTCCTATTAAAAATGTATGTGTTTTTTAAATAAAAAGCATTAAAAATCTGTCAAATTCGTATCTCCTCCAGGTGGCTGTTTTGAGAAAAATGAAGCATCCTAACATTGTCTCCTATCAGGATTCATTTGAAGGTGGGAAGCCCTGAGTTGAATACCTTACCCATGGCCCTCAGGATTTTATTGACATTTTGCTGGAAATATAAAATCTTATATGAAAGGTGTTAACTCTAGAAATTTGCTTTAATCATTTTTATAACACCTCACTCGTAGATCCTGCATCTTGATTGGCTGAGAGCCAGTCACATGGCATTCGCTGTTTTAGCTGTCTTCTTGTGCAAGGCCAAAAGATCTATACCTGTAGCAACCAAGGAACTAGTCAAAGGACCACCAACATAAAGTGCTAATGCATACAGGTGTGGGCATTGCATATCACGTGCATTCTGAAGTGCTCGCGTGACAGAGCTGTGTTGACATTTTGGGGAAAAGCACTGGTAAATTTTCAACAAATTGTTATTCAAATAGACATATTTTTATACGTACCGGTATTAAATCAGTGCCCGGCTCTCAAATCAATGCTGTCTTACCGGTAAGAATCAGTTACCGTTTAAATCAAGCAGAATCTGTGGGAGAGGTGTTACAAAACAAATATCCACTGCCTTATCTCTTGGTGTAGTGAAACTAGCCTCCCTAGATGATCCGTGGCGCTTTCCATTTTCCTTGGCTTTGCCACAGCAAAATACAATTCACCATGGATCACCTCCAAAGGCTAGGTTTGCTACACCAGTCAAAGCAGTCAACATTTGTGTACTATTGCAGTAATAGTGCTGTACAGATTGTGGAGAAAAATCATGTGCTTCATGTATGCACCTGTTTGCACGCAAGAATATGCTGTGAGGTCACACTTTGTTTACATGTTCACATTCTTATTGGAATCAGGAGGAGATGACAGATTTGAAGCAGCATTGTAACAGGTGCATACATGTATAAACCTGACGTGATGTCATCAGTACAGAGGCTTATGAGATGGAGCCTCCTTAACTTTTCTCAATGATTGTGATGCTGTAATGTGAAAAAAGTGGAAGATTACTCCTCTGAGCTATCAGTCCGTGGAGGTTCCTTCCTGTTTGATGTTCAGGTGTTAGGAGGAAAGTAGTTTGTTTTACATTGTACCGTATAGCCTGTTCCAGGAAACCGTCTTTTTACACAAATATCAATTAAGATACTGGCCTCAACATCTTGACTTCATTGGTTTTTCTGCAGAGGGAGGCAGTTTGTTCATTGTAATGGACTACTGTGATGGAGGTGAGAGTTATTATATCAATCCATTTCATCTCAGTGACCTGAAATCAGCTAGAATTACTAACTATCAATAGATAATGCTACTGTTCGTATGACCTTAGGCTTAGACCCCGACTGGATAATTGGATGTGCACCTGATGTACTCTACAGGTGTATGTACTTGCACAGTACCTTTCTTATTGGGTAAACATTTAGAAGGAAGGCACTCAAGCCCTTTTAAACTACTTTTCTGCTCAGAAAGTTTCTGTTGACTTTTCCTCCAGGGGACTTGTACAAAGCCATTAATGGAAGGAGAGGCATTCTGTTTCCTGAAGATCAAGTTCTTGATTGGTTTGTTCAGATCTGTCTTGCCATCAAACATGTACATGACAGGAAGATACTACACAGAGATATCAAGTCACAGGTAATGAAGTCGAATGCTCTTAGCTTTACAGATGTGAGTGTGCATTATTTAGCCACTGGTAAATGTTGTGTCAATCCATAACTGATAGAGAAGCATTTCAGTTTTCTGTTTAAATTGACAGTTAATTTACAAACTGTGAGTACAAGTTGTACTTGCATAGAACAAGATTAGAATCATTCACTGTATGAGGGTCAATAAGGTTGGTCTATGATTCCAACATTTTTCTTGTTTCTTTACAGAATATATTTCTGACGAGGAAAGGAATTGTCAAGTTGGGTGACTTTGGCATAGCTAGAGTTTTAAACAGGTGAGCATCAGTGCAAAGGACCATTGATTATCTTGGCCAACAAGGAGAGTTCTCAACCTTAATGTGTTTGCAAGGAAATCTGATTTTGGTTGTCCAGTACATGGGCTCCTGTGACGTGCAGGTCCTATTTCCTGGTTACTGTACGCAATATGGGGCCGATGGGTAAACCCCCCCCCACATTTCCAATCCCTATAAACACTCTAGACTATTGTTATCTAACACATCCCCCCCAGAAGTCTGTAAAGAATTCCTGAGATTCCGATCAAACAATGACCAACACAAAGATGAGGGGGGGTTCTCTCTGTCCATATCTTGCATCATGTATTTTCCTGTACTCATAGTTCATTGCAGTGTTACAGTCTAGACCATCACAAGACCAGTCACTAGTAACGGGATGAACAATGACTAAGGAATGCTTTTGTTGCAATTCATTTGAATAGCTTGTGACTTGAATTCAGACTGGAGGTCTTGTGCTGGTCCTGTGCTGGTATTGTGTGGTCTTGTGAAGGTCTTAAGTGATCTCGACTAAAAAGTGGTTCACTGTATCTTGGCATTTTGTGTTTATTTTTTGTGCAGCACGGTTGAGTTGGCCAGAACATGTATCGGAACACCGTACTACCTATCCCCGGAGATATGTGAAAATAAACCGTACAACAACAAAAGGTACACATGGAGAGGTTGAAACAGGCCATTCTGTGTTTAGTATAATAAATGGGTCAAAACTGCTGAAGAAACAAGAATTACTTTGCTTCAAGTACGGCCGTTTCACAATAGTGCGCCACCAAGAGTTTGCAGCGTGTTGGCCAATTACAATGCGCAAAATTTGTGGACCCAGCGCGTATTTGGAAAGGGTTGACAAAGTTTGCATGTTATGATTTGCCAACGCATTGCAAACTCTTGGTGGCGCACTATTATGAATCGCCCGTATTGACTCAATAATACTGCCAGCAATTTAGCTTTGTTTTCCGGGAATTGTTAAAGCTGACTTCAGTGCCACAGGACCAAATTTGATTATGGTCTAGCCCCTTCATACCCTGCATAAATTTGCGAGAAAATGTACTCCTCTGTATTCCAGAAATGCTATTGGGCAGTATGTTTGTCAATGTGAGAATGTTAATGGTATGTCCTTGTGTTCGTTTTGCAGTGACATATGGGCATTGGGCTGTGTTCTGTATGAGATCTGCACGCTAAAACACGCAGTGAGTACAATTTGAATTCTTACTTTATCAAAGCTACATGAAAAATTCAAGAGAATATTTTCTTTGATGAACGATTGCTCATGCCAGATAGGAATTGTATAGCGACGTGTATTTTGTTGTTGTTGTTTATTTAGTTTGAAGCTGGTAACATGAAGAATTTAGTTCTCAAGATCATCCGTGGTTCATACCCGCCCGTGTCGCCTAGATACAGCTATGACCTGAGGAATCTCATTGCTTTACTCTTCAAGAGGAATGCAAGGTAGCTCTTTCTGTGCCATGATTTGTATGGATTAACTCCTCCGGTCTTCTCAAATAACTGGATGTTGCAAATGATGAAGCCCAATTTATTTGCATCTAAATCTGTGCATAATTTGTTTGTTTTATATTTGTTGGCTTCTGTGGAAAGAGTTTTGTTTCATTGTAGCTATAGTTTTTCTTGTGATAGGGATTAAGTGCCTTGTTGATTTGTGTATTGAGCGACTATAGAGAAATCAGTTGACGATGGTAATGTTAGCATTGGTCATATGCAGTGACCCAACCCCAGTGGTGATTGTATCAAGCAAAGTTTTTGTGGTATTCGCTCCATTAAAGGCAGCAATTTGATTGTCCCGTGAAAAGTTCAGTGTATGTCCTCAGCAGAAGCACTCCCTCGTCGGTTGAAAAGAGCCATGCTGGTTGGGAGTGTTCATTTTATTGGTAGCGATGCGACTGTTGCGTGTACATGTACATTTCATTGTCGTTTGTGTACCAGCCTCCATTGCTAGCAAATTTGTGCCCTGTCTTGGTCCGCTTGGGTTGGATTGCTTGATTCATCTGTTACCTTGCCATTAAAAAGTAACATCCTAGTACACATACATTTATAGTTCAGCAATTACAAAGGACTACCTCCTCTTGTCCTGAAACTAACCCCCAACTTAATTATTGTAAGTAAAGATTGCATCCAGCATTATGCAAGCACCTGTTTAATAGTTTAACTCTGTTCTCATTTCAGAGATCGTCCATCTATCAACACAGTTCTCAAGAAACCTTTCATACAAAGAAGAATAGAGAAGTTTCTTACAGAAGCTGTAAGATTCCTCAGAATTTGACTCTAAAGAATTTTGGTTTCCCTAGTTAATTTGCCTCAATTTACACTCAATTCTTAAAGTTCTCAACAACAATGCTTTAAATCCTCCAAGTACTGAAGGATTTTGGACTGTGAGGTTTGTATTAGTACTTGCACTCCATATTCATAAAGCATTGTGTAGCTTACCTGTAGAAATTTCTCATTGGAATCAACCAACAGTGCATTTGTTGTGTATCACTTTCCCTGTTTTCCTAAATAGCAATAAGTATAGACTTATTTGGATTTATTTGATAGAATGAAAGTAAAGGATTAAAACATCTTAACCATCACCTTGGACATGTTGGATGTAGGTTGCATGAAGCCCACAATTTATCTGGAGCTTTTTTTTTAAACCGGAGGGAATAGCATGTAGTCAACAGTTTATGCTGTTTTTGGAATGCCTGTTTGCCTATTAGACTTGTGCTGAATCAGCTGTGATTTTTGTATCTGTTGCATTTCAGGAGATGGCAGATGAGTTTAGTCACACTGTCCTCCATCGTAACCAGGCACCAGGGCCGTATGGAGCTGCAGGTAGACCTGTGATGGCAGCAGGTGAGTAACGTCAGTCACACAGTGCTAGATTCATCTGACAGCCAGTATACATTATAATCCACGTGAATACCTGGATCGTATATCTATCTGTAACAATGTAATTTACATTTAAATATCTGAATGATAAACCCAAAGTAATACACTCTCCCTGATTTAAAATTCCATCAAGAGTCAGGAGTTGTCACATTGAGTTTGATGGCAATTAGGGTGATTAAGTGTAAAGTCTTTTGGATATCACAACTTAATTCGCTGCAAATATTTGTCACTTTGGCCCGAATCACAGATACTTTAATAGTGCCACGTAACTGGAGTTAATAATGCTAGTTGTAACAACTGAAGAGATGAAATTGAAAAATGAAAATTAATTGTCCAAAGGCTAGAGTTAAGCTTGAGAGCTAAAAATTGCCCAGAATGACTCCAGCACAATCAGTTGAGATTTGACCTAAGAAACCTCAGATTTGTGCTTGTAACTTGTTTGAGTCCAGCCCTGTTTTATACCTGTGTTTCTCAACCAAAATGGCTGATACAGGTTGATGTGCAAGATAGACTGATCAGACTTGATTATTAAAAGTGGACTTTGCAAACTGATATCAAGGCTAGATGTTCAGTCACTGTGTACACTGCCAGCATCCTTCTTATGCAGGGCTTGGTTGCAGTCAGCCACCTCTGTACATTTCTATTTGTGATCTTTCAGAGCGACGTCCCCAGCAGCCTGTTAGACTGAGTGATCCTTCAGCCAAGTATGGTCCCTCTGTTGGCATTCGCAAACCACCAGCAGCGGCAAGGTCAGTTGCAATACTTCTGTGCTTTTCATATTTGGTGGCTTGCTCAGTGACTTTGTGACCCGTCCGCTTTGAATGCCCCAGGAAAACTGTTTTTGCTATTTTGTTGTCCCACTGTTAATGAAAGTCAATAAAATTATGTGAAATGCGGAAGGTTTGTGGTAACGTGAAAATTAATCTCGTATTTGAGGTGCATTCTTCTGGCAATAACCTGGGTGTTTCAACTCAGTGTTTCCAACACTGTGCTCTGTCATCAGTCCACGATGACAAACAGAGCACACTCTTCGAAACGTGGAGTTGAAACAGCAGGTTACTCTTAGAGCCACACAACTCAAATAACTACAAATGTTCTGTACTATTATATATAACAGGTTTGCCCTTACCCAACGTATAT